GTGGGGTGGGGGGGTGGGCCTGCCTGGGGGCTTTGTTCGCTCCTGGTGGGCCCGTGAGCAGTCCAGCAGGTGCAGCGGCAGCGGGTGCCCGGGTGTGTGAGCTGCCCCGCCCGCCCGCGCCCCTCCCCAGCCCCCACCCTGCAGGCTCCCATTGGAATGCAGCTGGCTGAGGAGGAGCCTCGATGTGGCTGCAAGGCTGTCCTCCGGCATGGCTGCTTGGCTGTGACAGGCGCTTTCCTTGCCCGCTCTCCAGGCTGGCCGCGTTCCCTGGGGCCGGCACTGCCATTTTGATGTTCAAACAGCCCTGTGGCCAGAAAGACTCTGCTCTGAGCTTCCGGCTGCCGGTGGCTGCGGGGAGGCCAAGGGCTGCGCGGCTGCCACCGTCGTCCCTTCTTGTCTGTTCCTGGAGCCCTGCGGGGGCGGCCTTGGCACACCTTCTGGAGCTGTCTCGCCACCCAGGCCGGGTGGATGCCAGCCGGCATCTGCGTCTCACCAGCTTCTCGTATCTCTTGTGCGATGCTTCCAGCTCGGGCGGAGTTTAGATATTTTCCACTGGGGCCCTTTGGGAACCGGTGCCCGGAGCTCTGGCTCCCCAGCCCAGCCTGTGAAGTGAGCCTTGTCTCTCTGCTGGCAGCCAGTCAGGGAGCGAGATCCGGCCGGAATGGGGCTGCTCCCACGTCGGGGCGAAGGGCCACTCAGGCAGCCTGTTGGGTTTGGCGGTTTCTGTATCCGGGGTGGACCCAGGAGGGAGTGATGCTCACAGCTCAGTCATAGCACTGAAGGCTTTGCCTCTCAGAGAAGTGCTCCTGCTCGTGAGCTCGGGCATTATTCTTTCTCGGGAAGGAGGGAGTGGCTCAAACCAGCGGCAGGCTGCCCCTCTCTCCCTCCAGCCCTTCCGCCCGTCTGGACAGGAGCGAGGCCTCCAGAAACTTAGTGCTCACGTTCACATCCCCTCACATGCCCGCATCATTCTCTCTCCTCGTCAGTGGCCACATGTTACCTCCTCTTGAATAAGAAGCGCCCTGGGGTGCACTGGCCCAGTGGCATAGGGGTTAAGTTCCAAAAGGGGTTAAGTGTTCCACTTTGGCGGCCCCGGGGTTGGCAGGTTCGGATCCCAGGCGTGGACCTACACACTGTTTATCAGTCATGCTGTGGCAGCGTCCCACATAGAAAACAGAGGAAGATTGGCACAGATGTTAGCTCAGAGCCAATCTTCCTCACTAAAAAAAAGGTGGGGGGGGGGAGAAGAGACATGGGAGGCACGGCCTCATCCACCCACACAGGGTCTGGCACACAGTAGGTGCTCAGGTGTCCAGCACACAGTGGCTGCTCAGCAAACACCTGCACATGTTGGGGAACATGTCAAGTTTCAGATAGTGTGTTTTGGGGAGAGAGTTTTGCTTCTATAAACGTCAAGTCATGGAGTTTGGCAGCTAGGGTCAGCGTTGCCTTAACTAGGTGAGCCACGGAAGGTGCTGGAAGTGTCTGAATCTTGTCACTGTTGTTTTTTTTAAATTCAGTCTCCTGAAACAATGTGTGCTTGCTTCCAGAAGGCGGGAGCAGTGTTGCTTCAAGGTTCAAAATGGGCTGGATTGTAATTCTCTGCAGGATGGACCACCCCAGACCTCCGTGCAAAGGAGGACTCGTAACACAGGCCAGCTTTTATCTGGCACTGGCTCTGCTGGGCACCGTCCTGCACACTCACACGCCTCAACCCACACAGGCCTCGCTGCAGCCCGTGATGGGGGGCTCCTGTCGCCCCACTTCAGAGACCAGGAGGCCGTGGCCCAGAGAGGGGGGCCGTTTGCCGTGGGTCACATGGCATGTTGGCTTCCTGCAGCTGCTGTGACAGATGACCACACACGCAGTGGCTTAAAGCAACACAGATTGATTATCCTACAATTGCGAAGGTCAGACGTGCAAACTGGGTCCTGAGGGCTGAGGTCACGGCTGTGGGCGTGGCTGTGCTCCTCCCTGCCCGCTCCAGGGAGAGCCCTCACCGGTCCTGCTTTCTGGAGGCTGCCCCTGCTCCTTGGCTCATGGCCCCTTCTCCGTCCCCAAGGCAGCAGCCTGGTGTCTACACTCTCCCTGCCTCTGACCTGCCGCCTCGCTCTTGGACCCTTGTGACGACATCCCGGTAATCCAGGATGAGCTCCCATCTCAGGACCCCTAACCACACCCGCAAGGCCCTTCCACCATGTCAGGTCCCATCTCAGGTCTAGGGATCAGCGTGTGCACGTCTTTGGGGCCACTGTTCCCCCTGCCACACCCAGGAAGCGGGCAGCAGGTGCCCCTTTGAGGACCACACGCTCCATATAAACACAGGGAGGGACGGGGCCACCTGAGGACAGGTGCTAGGGGCTTTGGAGGACCTCTTTCGTCCCCAGGCTTTGTGTCCCTTCTCCCTGTGGTCCTTGGCCCTTGTTCTGGGGACACCGTGACCGGCCAGGGAGAGGGCTGCTGGTGACCGTGTCCACAGGCTGATCCCAGCCTTAGAGATGGCCGTGGGCCTGGCCCTGGGACTTACAGGTCGGTGGGGGCTGCTTTGCACCTGTGAGGTCTCTCCTCTGGGCAGTGCAAGGGCTGCGAGAGGCCAGGCCCGGGGGTTAGAGGTCATCAGGTCCTGAACCTCAGGGAGCTTATGGGCTGGGGGTGACGAATACAAGAGGTCACAGCCGTGGAGGCCAGCAGATGGGAGCTGCAGGGGCCCCGTGGAGGATGGCGGGAGACAGGGAGCCGATGCCTGCGGTCAGTCCCACTGGATCCAGTGAGAAGGAGCCAGAAGGCTGTTCCTGGTCAGGGAGGCACAGAGGCAGCCCGGGCACGGCAGAAAGAGGTGACAGATACGTGGGCAGAGGCCTGGGCGGGAAGTGCCCTGCGCCGTGCGTGAGGGACAGCCTGCTCTGAGCGGGCAGTGACAGGCCAGTCCCGGGGCTGTGGCGCCGACCCCGTGGACGTGAGAATGTCGTGGGGGAGGGCCCGGACCCTGGAACCGGACCTCCAGGGTTGAGCCCCGGCTCTGCCTCTCCCCGGCTGTGGGGCCTCACGTGGGACGATTGCTCTCCCAGCAGAGGCGAGTCCTCCGGGTGATGCTGCGGGACAAACAGCCCACTCGCGGTGGCCTCCTTCTGCTGTCACTACCTGTTCGTCACGGGTTGACCAACACACGACGTGGAGGTCCCCCGGGGTCTGAGGCTGGCGAACTGGCCGGCGTCTTCAATGATGCAGAAGGAAGAGGGGGCTCTGGAGGGCCTGCCCTGGCAGTGACATCCTCGGCCGGGGGTGACAGGTGGCACAGGCAGAACTCACCGGTGCCCCCCAGGGACCAGGAGCTGTGGCCCCAGCACGTGGGTGGAAGGCCGAGCCTGCGACCGGCCCATGCTGGGGGCTGGTTTGCAGACAGGGGAGGATTGGGGAGGACCCCCGCTGGAGTCCGGCCTGTGGCCGGGGCAGGACGTTTCTGAGCAAAGGAGCCCATCACTTAGAGGATGAGGCCGATGCAGAGCCGAGTCTGCTGAGAGCACTAGAAGGTCTTAGAGGGAGCGGCTCCTGGTGCTCTGGGGCCTCAGATTTTTGCTGCCAAATGCCCTCTTTTCTGGGCTCTCTCATGGGCTTAGTGTCACTGCAGGGCGCTCGAGTGACAGATGAGCTTTTCAGGGGACAATGGCAGAGCGATGAAGAGGCCTGCAGGGCTGGGGCCGGGCTGGAGAGCATCCAGGGGAGTCATGGGGGGCAGCGAAGATCAGAGTGTGGACGCTTCCGCACGGTGGCTGGGGGCTGGGCCACAGGAGCTGGGGTCTGTATTTGTGGAATCGGTTTGGGGCCGGCAGGCAGTGGGCTGGGCTGGGGGGTACACTGCAGAGTGGGCTGGGCCCTCAGCCCACTCTCTGAGGGGAGAATGGGGGCCCGTGGTCCCTGACTGTCTTCGCTGCCACATCTTGTGGAACTCTGGGGACAGACTTTAAGGCAGACTAGAGAAAGAACTTCCCAGCAGGTGAGCTATGGGACGGACTTGGGAGGGGGAACAGGTGGCACTTTCTTTGCATTTATCTGAAGGGGCTCTTTTCTGAGGAAGCTATCAATGGCTTCTTTTATCATAGTATTCTCTTTTCCCACCTTAACAAGATTCTCCCGGTTGCAAGTGAGAGAAAGGGGGCTCAAGTTGTTTTGAGCTACAATATGGATTTGCCGGTGCTCACATCTGAATATTGGCTTCAGGCATGGCTTGATCCAGGCATTCAAACCATGTTGGCAAGACTTGATCTTCCACCATCTTTGATGTCTGCTCTCCTCTGTGTTACGTCATTTCCGGATGGGTTTTCCTCAAGTGGTGGCAAGTTGTGCCCCCTGCCAACCATCCCCACATGCTTAGCCACCTCAGGGTGGCTTTCCTCATAACTTCTACAGAAGACCTGGGCAGGACTCTCATTGGCCCAGCTTGGGTCCCAGGCCCATGCCTATACTGACTGTTGTCCGCGGGGAGATGCAGTGTGGTGTCCAGAAGAGGTGGATGCTGGGTAGGCAAAGCCCGGTGCCCACAGCCTCTGCCCCTTGGGGGCAGCCCCCAGCCTTGGGCTGCCCTGAGAAGGCCCAGGAACCTTTCTTAGGGCGAGCATGGTTTCCAGCCCTAGCTGAGCCCTGACCTCCTGCGTCACTGAGGGGGGAAGCTGGCGAGGCCCTGGACCCGTGCTCCCCGAGAGCTTAGTGTGCTGGCTCCGGGAGCTTAGTGTGGGCTGGGGGTTGTAGTGAGAGGCCATTACCATGTCCCCTTATTGAGATGCCTGGGGACTGGGGGGGCAGGCTGGTGGGTGGGGAGCCATGGGCCAGGTGGGTGGCCCGCAGAGGGACGCTGGGGTGGGCTTCCTGATAGACCCCACGAAGCAGGCATCCAGACCTGGCCAAGGCTGGAAGGGGGTGGGCCGTCCTCTTGTGCCCAGTGAGAAACTGAGGCCACGGTGCCAAAGGGCTGCGTAACCCTGTGTCTGTGTCTCTACCGGCAGCCCCCGCCCCTCCCCCCGAAGCCACCGGCGCTCGAGATGCGGCCCCGGATGCTGCCTGTGTTCTTTGGGGAGAGCATTGAGGTGAACCCCGAACCCACACACGAGATCCGGTGAGTGGGGCCGCTGGGCTGGGGGGCTGCTGGTCCTGACCCCCTGCAGGGTGCCCCTGCCGGCTGGGGGCTCAGCGGGCTCCTCTCCCTCCAGGAAGCCCCTCTGGGTGCTGCCCCCTGAGGAGGCCTGGCTGTGGCTTAGCCAGAGATGAACGGGTGCTACGAGACTCTGATCCCAGGGGGCTTCCCTGTCCCCCTGGCCCGGGTCTACATCCGGCTAGTTCCCCTCCAACCTTCCACCCCAACCCACCTGATTTTTACTTTCAATCCCGCCTCCGGGGAAGTTTGGGAGGTGATCACATGACCACCCACACAGCTAATGCAGCTGCCAGCTCTTTAGACCACAGCACCTTGGGACCCCTTTCCACCCCGCGTTTCCTGAGTGTCAGGTGAACACAGAGTTGCTCCGTGCTCCACTTGACTGTCATGTGGCTCCTTTGTCCCCGAGGAGTGGTGGCACTGCACGTGTGTTAGGGGCCCTCCCACGCATGGGACATCTCAGGTGGCATCTGGATGGCTTAGTTAGGTGCCCCACCGGGAGCTTTCCTCCATCACCGCGCCCTCCTCCGAGGGCCTCTGGGGCCAGGCTTCCAGAAGGTGGAGGCCGGGCTCCGTGGGTCCTGCCCATATCTCCACGGGGCTCTGGAGATGGCGCTGTCCACGTCAACCTGGGCCAGCAGGGCTGCGACCCACAGCCTCCTGCCCCTCCAGCTGGGGACACGGTCCCAGGGGACAGACGGGTACTTCCAAGTTTTTCCTTCCCAAACAGCCTTCCCTTTTAGTTTTAAAATGAGAACAAACATTAGATTACTGGGGGTGCAGTGAGGCTGGACCGGAGCTGCCGTGAGTCTCGGGCCTCAAGGCCCTTCACAGACCGCTCATCCGGGGGGCTGCGTGGGAAAGAGGCAGCTTGTGTCCCACCCTCCCCGAGCTTCCGCCTCCAGGGTGATTTTCCGAGGCGCTGGCAGCAGGGCCGGGGACCTGAGCAGCTGCTCTCGCCAGGGGCTCGCTCATCTCAGCCCCTGAGGCTACTGTTCGGGACACTTGTTTGACATAATTTCAAACTTACAGAAAAGCTGCAGGAAGAGGACAGGGCGCCCGTGTGTCCCGGGCCAACAGCCCCACGGGGTGCACGGTTTGCCTTATTGCTTGAACCTCGCCTGCTCTCTCTTCCTACGCGGAGGAAATGTTTTCTGACCCATTTGAGAGGAGATTGGCGACCTCCTGACCTTTACCCTTCAATCCTCCAGTGTCCTTCCTAAGGGCAGGGCCGTCCTCCCACCTGATGACCGGACGGTTGTTAAAATAGGACAGCCGGCTTGGACACACGGCCTGCCTCTGATCCACACCGCAGGGTCCAGTTTCGTCTGTTGTCCCAACAATGCCCTTTCAAGCTGTCTTTTTCAGGATCCAACCAAGGTCTCGTGTTGCATTTAGCTGTCACTGTCTCTTTAGTCTCCTCGAAGCTGGCACCGTCCCCCAGCTCTTCTGGGACCTTTTGTTTTTCTTTACCTTGTTTTTTCTTTTGCTGGGAAAGATTCACCCTGAACTAACATCTGGTGCCAATCTTCCTCTATTTTTTTTCTCCCCGCAGCCCCAGCGCATGGTTGTATATCCTAGTTGTAAGTGTTTCTAATTCTTCCAGGTCAGACGTGGCCACAGGGTGGCTGCTGACAGACAGGGGTGTGCGTCCCCGCCCAGGAACCGAACCCGGGCACCCAACTTTAACCTCTCGGCCCTCAGGGCTGGGTCCTCTTCTTTGACCTTTTGACCTTTTGGAAGAGCCCAGGCCGGTGTGTTTAAGAGTTCTGCGAGGGGCCCTTCCCAGGGTCCTCCAGAGCGCGCGGGCGGGGATCACACGCCCCATCCTGGCCTCACCGCCTCCTCCCCTCCCCAGCTGCAACTCTGAGGTCAAGTACGCCTCGGAGAAGCACTTCCGGGACAAGGTCTTCTACGCGCCGGTGCCCACGGTCACGGCCTACAGCGAGACCATCGTGGCGGCGCCCAACTGCACGTGGCGCAGCTACCGCAGCCAGCTGACCCTGGAGCCGCGGCCGCGCGCGCTGCGCTTTCGCAGCACCACCATCATCTTCCCGAAGCGCGCGCGCAGCTCCTTCCGCACCACCCTGCGCTGCCGCCCGGGCGCCCGCCGCTTCGCCGCCAGCGTGCAGCTGCAGCCCTGCCCGCCCGCGCCCGCGCCCGCGCCGCGCTAGGCCCCGACGGGGCCCCTGCCGCCCCCGCCTCGCCCCCGGCCGCGCGGCGGACCCGGCCCGCGGACCTGTGTTAGCAGCAGCCAAACGGCGAGGCCGCGGGGTGGCCTCGGAGCGCGCAGGGCCGGGCCGGGCATTAGCGGGTGGCCCCCCGACGGTCCGCGAGAGGAGGGGTGCGTCCAGCCCCCGGAAGCGGAGCACGGCCCAGGCCCGGAGGGATGGCTGGGGGACCTGCAGCGGCTCCTCCGCACCCCGCACCCGTCTGTCCAGGGCTGGTGGCCTGGCTCCCAGGCCGTGCGTGAGGGCAGAGGGTGCCCCCCAGACACCCAGCGCTCCCCGAAAGGGCTGTGGGCAGAGGGGCCTTGCGAGGGTGCGCGGCCGGCGCGGGAGGCCCAGCCTGGAGCCGTGATGGAGCCGCCTCTGGGGACATGCGGGCAGCCGGACACGGGCGGGTGCTGGTGGGGGCGGGGTGGTTGCGGGGCGCAGCCTGGAGAAGACCTCGGCTTGGCCGTGCCCGTGTCCTGTGGCCCCGTGTGGGACACCCAGGGCGTAGCCGTCGAGTCGAGGCCTTCAGCTCTGCAGCCGGAGCCTCGGCCGCCGAGGGGAGCGTTTCTGCGCTCCGATGTCCGCCGCCGCTGCCGGAGCTCCCGGCCGCGTTACTACACGGATGATGGCTCACGGTGACAGGTGCTGCGGGGCGCACCTCCCATGAGTGACGTCAGGGGAGGAAGACGGGAGAGACCCGTGCTCCCTGGGACGAGCCAGCGCGTGCCGGGTCGCAGCTGGGGTCGCGGAGATGCCCCTTAGACCAGAATGGACCCAGCGGGTGGGGGCTGCCCCGCCACTCCCCTGGCCACCCCCGACAGGGGCTTTAGATCCCTTGGGGTGAGGGGGTGACTCTCGTGTCCAGAGAGGCCCGATGTATTTTATGTGTCTACACCGTGGGGCCCATTCTCTCCAGAGATGCTTTCTCATTAACAAAGAAGTAACTTAAGAACCGATTGATGATCTTAATAAAATGTGCAAACCCTCCTCTGTGTTTCTGAGACCGTGGGCCCTGGGGCGGGAGTAGGAACGGTTTTCTCAGGCCCAGGTCCCGCCCCGCTGCTCACAGGGGCAGGGGGGTGTACTGCAGGCCCAGAGCCCTGGGCCACCCCCCGCCATGGCCTCAGTGTGTGCACAGTGCCACCCGGGAGCCGATTAATAAATGCAGAGGCCCAGGCCCCACCCTGGGACTTGGGTCTGGGGTAATACCAAGGAGGGTCCCGGGAATCTGAAATTGGGGAGACACAGAGCAGCCAGGGGACAGTGTCCTCCATGAGTTGGGGACAGACGGGAGTCTTTGACACAGAGGCTTTGTGCAGGGGACAGATTCTCACTTTGCGGGCATGGGTGCCAGGAGTGCGATGGCAGGGCCAGCGTGGCCTCCTGAGGCCCAAACCCTAGCCTGCAGTGTGTAAAATGACAGTAACGATACGGCCCTCCCAGCTCACGCCTGCGGCTCTCACTATGTTCCAGGTGCATATTAAACGCTTCGTGTGGTCCCCTCCTTTCATCCTTACCTGTGGAGACGGGTGCTACTGTGTCTCCATTTTAGAGGAGTAAGTGAGGCGCAGAGAGGTTAAGTGACTTGCCCAAGGTCACACAGCTGGTGGGGTGGGGGAGCAAGGCCAGGAGCTGAGCCAGGAGCCCTGCCCTCTGACCCACTTGGCCACCGGCCATGATGGAGGATGGTCTCTAACAGGATGGGGGCCAGGGGTGAAGCCAGGAGGGGTGGTGGGGCCAAGGACAGGTCTACCTCACTGTGGGGAAGAGGCCTCCGGGGGTCTGCGTGCACCAGCAGGATGCAGTCCAGCCTCGGGCCCCCGAGAAGGCAGCCCGCTCCGAGATGGGAGCCTGTGCAGCCCCGCACGCCGGGCGTGGCCTCGCGGCCACTACGCTCATTCAGCTGCAGCCGCCTGAGCCGCGGTCGCCACCCTGACCTCTCACCGCCGTGAAGGAAGCCTGGCCTGGGCTTCCTGACGATGACAGTGCCAACAAATCCAGCGACCTTGCAGGAGCCCCGGGTGGCCCTTCAAGAAAGAACTTTCGAGGCCTGCAGTCCACTGTAGGCCAGCAGCCACAGCCTCCCGGCCACCGCCAGGCGCTTCCCAGGGGCCCAGCTGTGGCTTCACGGTGGCCCCGACGCTTCTGTTGAGAGTCTGCCCTCGGGCCGAGCGAGGCTCCCTGCCCAGTGCTGCTTCGTCTCCCTTCATCCTTCACAGGCGTCACCCCAGGAAGCCCCTGGCCCTCCTGGCTCATCTGCGGTGCACATGTGCCTCTGAGGGGCGGGCAGGGTTGCATCCTGCTCTTGGTGCGTCTCCAGGGGTCACTCTGACCATGCATTCGAATGGCTGCTGCCTACCCCGCTGAGGCTGGGACCCCAGCCTGCCTCCTCGGACGTAGGGCCCAGTGAGGCCAACCTGGGAGGGGGAGGACGTCAGGGACAGGGACAGCTGCCTGTATGGCCCCCAAGTGCACCCCGCTTTTCCTCGGAAGCAGCTCCTCGTCCTCTGGGCTCCCGGGCAGAAAGAGGGGCCTGTCTCGTCTAGATCCCGTCCCAGCCCTTGGCATTTCCACCCCCAAAATAAAGGGACTGGAGGCCAGGGTCCCCTGCTGCCCAGGCTGCAACAGGCCCTCTGGCTTCTCCCCTCCCCCACACTCCCAGATCCAGATGCACTAGGCAAGCCCCTGAGGGCCAGCTGTCACTCCCTGTGCCCCCAGGAAGGCGGAGATGACACTGGGGATGGGCCTGGTGGCTGGAGAAAGAGTATGCCACTTAGCTTCTCTAAGCGTCTGCAAAATGGGCGCATGGCCTACCTCCCGGGCCGCTGGGGTGCTGAGGACCGCTCGGGGAGCCTCTGCTGCAGCTGCACCAAGCCGGACCCTTCCTGGGGCCCACCCCGACCCCTCGCTCAGCCTCTTCTGCGGGCACCCAGGCCAGTTTCTGGGTTCACACGCACGGAGCTCAAGTCAAACTCAGCATCCCCCCCAAACAGGGGTCCCCACTGTCTGGACTCGACGCGGTCCCATCTCTTCCTCCCCAAGTGGGACGGACAGAAGCGCGTCCCTGCACCTGGCAGGAACTCAAGTCAGCATGTTATGCATGTGATTTTCCCAATGACCTGTGAGGTGGCTGGTGAGGAATTCTAATGAGGACGCGGGCCTGGCCTAACCCCAGAGGAGGTGCCGATGGAAGACGGCCTGTCACGTGGTCCTACATCTAAACCCACAGCATCCGTAAAGGCCTCCTTGGCTCAAGGACAGAGCAGCCAGGGAGCCTTCGCACCAGCTGCCAGCCATCGGGTTACTTCCAGATATGCAAATAAGAGTCACTGTCACCAGGCCACCTGGAGTGTTTCCTGCCCTCTCTCTCCTTTCCTCTCGAACCCGTTTTTGTCTTCATCCCTTGCCTGTCCCGCTCTGCCTCCCCACAGGCGAATGGCCATGACCATGTGAAAGAACTAAACTATGTGTCTCTGAGTTACTCCTCACAGCAATATCTCATTTTACAGATGGGGAAACTGAGGCACAGAGGGTTCAGATGACTTGGCCAGGGTCACACAGCCATTGGGTGGCAGGGCGAGGATGGAAGCAGGCTGCTGGCTCTGCAGTCTGCTCCCAACTCAGACGCTACACCCTCCCCTCACTGCCCCGTAAGTGGTCTGGCCCTGTCTCCTCCCTGGGGCCCGGGGCCTCTGCCTTGGCCTTCTCTGCTGTGTGACCCCCAACCTGGCCCCACGCTGGTTGCCCAGGCCTGTTTCTCCCTCACAATCCATCCAGCAAGCCAACGTCACCCTGATTTCAGAAAACCAGCAAATTACCTCACTGGGCATCTCAGAAATTCCTGTGCCCCCACACTGACTAACGTCCAGTCTCCCTGGGCCCCCAGATGTCCCTGGCTGGGTCTCACCTCCCAGCCTTTGACCACACAGGTTCCTTTGGCTCAGCACATCCCTCCACCGAGAACTGCCACCTCCAGGAAGCCACCCTGACTGCTCCAGTTCAGTTATCACAGTGCCTTGGGGACCAGTCCACTCCTGCCCTCCCCATGGGGGCAGCTTTTGGGCTGGTGGGCCGGCCTTCTTCTATGGAGCCTCTTGTGCCCTCACTGGAGACCTCCTGGCGGGACAGAAGTGAAGGGACCATGTGACGGTCTAGCTGTGACCCTGAACCCCACCCCCGACCCCACAGTGAGGGCTGCAGCCACCTGCACCAGACACACCTGGGCTGCTTGCTGAAAGCACAGATTCCCGGGGCCCCACCCTGGACCTAGAGAATTATTCATTTTCCGGCATTTTAACCAACTTCCCAATGTCCTAAGACACAGGGACATTTGCCAACTATTCTTTGCTTTACAAAACACTTCCTAATTTTCTGTTGAATCTGATCCTCATAGTGTCAGTTCAGCTCCACAAAGCCACCAAGGAGGCTCAGTCAACAACAGGGACAGGCGGGGAACACAAGAGCTCTGCCTTCAAGGGCTTCTGTCTGGTTTGAGACATGAGTAGCTTACAATGTGTTCGCTGAGACCAGAGGAGAGAGATTGTGGGGCTAATGAGTTCTCAGAGGAGGCAATGCCCCAGTTGGGTTTTGAAGTGTGTGTAGGAGTTTTCCAGGGAGCTAGATGTTGGGAGAAAAGCATGGGCCTCCGTGTTAAAGACAGAACACTGAGCAAACCAAAGAAGCTGGGGTGGGATGAGCTCTGAAGGGGTTGAGGACTGGCTGGTTGCCCCTGGAAGATAGGGTGGACCCTCTGCAGGCACAGGAGACGGGGAGCTCTCCCTACACCCTGCGAACACTCCTGTTGTGTCTGGGCCACTGGCCCTCAGAGAAGACAGAAGGAGGCGCCACGTGGTGCCACCTCTGAGGTTATGGGCACAGGGGGCTGGCGGAGGTGACCATATGGGCTGAGGCTGTGTCCCCCTACCCCAACAGTACTCTGGTCTGAGCGCAGCTGAGGGAGGTGCCATGGGTTCCTGGGGGACACCAGCACACATGGCCAAGCCCTGGTGGCTGGTGTGGCCATCCTGACCGCAGCATCCTGGACTCCAGGTGGGGGCTCCCTGCGCCCCTGTGAGGGAGTCCCCACCGGGGACAGGGCCCTTTGCTGGCTCAACACTACCACCTGCCTGCCAGCCTCGGTACTGCAGCCCAGGGCCAGGCTGGGCCCCATGGGGGGCGGGTGAGACCCCCGCACAGATGAGAAAATGGGGCTCGGAGGGCACCACAGTGCCCTCAAGGCCATACACGTCACTGCGCGGCCTGGAAGCCAGGCCCTATGTGGCTCCATGCCCCCTGCTCATTTCGCCTCCCACCCAGGCTCACCGGGTCACCTCCGGGGATGCGGAGCGCCGGGGCGGCTGGCCACACCCCGGGAGGGGGCGGTACTGGCACTGCCAGCGTGGAGGGTGTGCAAGGGATAGCAATTTCTGCCTCCAGGGGACCCTGGTTCTCTCCGCCGCCCCTGAAAATCCCCCGTCTCCAGGTTGCTGAGTGGGCGGCTGAAGTCCGAGGTCTGGGGAAGGGCAGGGCCCGCGGCAGCCGTGGAAGGCTGGTTCCCAGCTGAATGGACCGCCCCCCCTCAGCCAGACACGCAGGCCTGCTGACGAGCTGGCTGGGCCAGGGGGGCCGTCTCTGGGTATTTGGGGTCGTATGTCTCTGGGTGGGCCGAGAGGGGCTATGAGAGCGGAGAGCCTGAGGGACGGGGACGGGGGGTTCCAGGACCACAAGACCCCCAGGGTTAGCATGACGTGAGCAAAGAGAACCCCTGCTTTGCAAACTATCTTGTGGGGTTCACCTTTCAGAGACCCCACCTCCCACCCCTCAGAGCTCCCAAAGGCCCCAGGATCCTGGGAGCCCAGGCCGGCCTCCAGGAGCTGACCCAGCAGGACTCAGTGTGGCAGCCCGAGGCCTCGCAACGGTGTGCATCTCCTGGCCGCCAACTGTCTTACACATCTGCCCGGTCCTGGGGCTGAGGTCCAGCCCCACTCTGCAGGCAGCGCCCGAGTGGGACACATCGGGGGTCCTTCAGCCCATACCACAGGGCTGACCTCGGCTCTGCTGGCGTGGAGATCCTCTGACCTCTGCTCCGAGAAGGGGTGGGCATCAGGGGCCACACCCAGGCCAGCGATGCCCCTGGGGGGCCGTGGAGACTGAGAGGTGGCTAAGGGGCAGCTGAAACCTGCCACCTGTAGGGGCCTCCGGGCCGGTCAAGAGCAGCGGGAGCAGCCCTTGAGGGCAGACTGGCACGCCCCTCACCAGCCTCACTGTGCCTCCCCATGTGCCTCCACCCAGGGCAGTCACACACGGGGAGCGGATGGGGACACAGGCAGGTGGCAAGGTCTCCCAGACGCCCCTCCAGTCAGTGCCCAACCGGGCCGCGGGGGCTGAAGTTGATGCAACCTGGCATCAGGCAGGGCATCAGCTCCCGGGGCGAGCAGGGCCACGACCCCGTGGGCTGGGCGGGTGGGGCCGCAGTGGCTCTGCTGGGGCCGCAACGGAAAGAGCAGGGGGGGAGGGGTTGCAGCGAGGCCGCCGGCGCCCCCAGCAGGAAAGGATGGCAGCCTTTCTGAGGCGCTGCGCTGCTCAACAGTCAGAGCCAGAGTGCGACTCTGTGCCCACGTCACACCGAAGCGTGAGCAGCAGCTGGCAGTGGTTTCAGGCCCCAGGCGGGGAGGGTGCTCTTTCTCCTGCCCGTATTCATGGAAGGCTGGGACAGCAAAGGAGTGTGTGGTCCTCAACACGACATGGCAGGAACCACAGGGAAAGTGCTTAGCAGCTAAGAACAGATGACGGCCGCCTGGGACCCCCTCACCACGGCGGTGAATGTCTCTGTACGTCCACCCTGAGTGTGAATACTCAGTGTATTCCCCGTGGGTGTGGACGGCCTGGCCACGGGTGTGAGTATCTAATACACTCACCACGGGTGTAAATATTTGATACGCTCACCGTGTGACACAGGATACCCATCTCCATAGCTGTGAATATGTGACACCGTCCTCATGGATATAAATATCCAATACTCTAGCCACGGGTGTGACTATTTGATGTCTTCATGTGACGTCCTCACCGTGGGGTAAATATTCTCCAGCAAAGGGGACAAGCCGTGAGTTAGGGGATGCTCCCTTTGCCCTCCAGAGTTACACTCCCACCGTCCCCCAATTCGCCAGTCGCCTGCCCTCCTGGCGAGAGAGAGAGAAGCCTCTGGGAGTGGAGTATAAGTTGCTTTTAATGAGAACAACGTGTGTAAATGACAGCGCGCCACCGCCGTGCGCAGGTGGCGGCCACAGAATACCCATCGAATTCATTCTGCCCAAGGAAGGGAGGGAGGGAGGACGGGGGGCTCGTGGGCCTGGGGCCCCGCCCCCCTGGGTCCTGCGGACGACGGGGTCACCAACTGTCGGCCAGCACACGCCTCTTGCACGGTAAGCAGAGATCGAAAGCACAGCAGCAATAATACTGGGTAAGTCCTTCCTTGCGTAAAACATCTGAATTAATTCATTGAAGGTATCAAAAATATACCCTGTAAACCAATACATCATTTACACCTGCCTGCCCTTCCCACTGCCGCGGCAACCATGTGTGAAAAACAGACCAGTTCCTTGGAGCAGCCGCTCGCCCCAGGCCGCACCTGGCCCTGTCGCCCGCCCATCTGGCCTGACGGTTTCCAGCAGTCTCGTTGGCTGGGGCAGCCCATGGGGACTGGGACGAGAGCGCTGGGGGCTGGACAGGGCCTGTGTCTGTCTGTCCAGAGCGCTAAGCGGGATGGGGGCGGGGGGGTGCAGGGGCTGCTAGCTCAGTTTAGACTTTGGTTCCAAATGCGTTAAGGGGGGAGGCAGTGGCGTGGGAGGTGCGTGGTCATCCTGCTTTGGGTCCCTGGCCGCCCCGGCTGCGAGCATGTGGCCACCACACGCCCACCATGCCCCCGTCCCGGCCCCCTCCCCTCCCGAGCACCAGGTAAACATCCCCTGAGTAAGGTCACTGCACAGGGCCAGCCCGGGGCGGGAGTCGTAGTTAAGGCTTCAGACAGGCGAGGAGGCCGGCTCTGGACGGACGGGCGGCGGGCAGACTCAGGGGCTCCTTCCTCGGTGGGGGAGTCGCGCCCCCCCGCCCGGCTGCTCGGGCCGCTGGCCGGGTGCCAGTGCCGCCCCCACCCCTTCGGACAGTCACTCGCTGTCGGAGAGCGTCTCATACTGCGAGCAGAGCAGCGGCTTGGGCTCCTCGTCCCAGGCGTGATGGGGGCCGGCGAGGGGCCCACTGCCCGCCGACAGGCCTGGCGGGGGCGGGGAGGCCATGACGCCTGCCTGCAGCCGCATGATCAGTGGGTTGTAGGGGAATGGCGTGGAACCTGCCGGCAAGACCGAGAGATGCCCAGGAGGCCCAGTGAGCAGAGCAGCCGCCCCGGGCCCACCCGCCCACCACATGGGGCCCTGGGGCCTTGTCCCAGCCCCTCCTGACCCCCGGGGGTTTCTCACCTCTGCCCACCTCTACCACCGCCCCCACTCAGGCCTCGGCCGCCTGTCGCCTGGACCTCCTCGCGCCCACCCTTCCCCTGGGGTCTGTTTCTCTTGCAGCCAAGGGGTCCTTCGACCTACACTGGAGCGGGCACTTCCCCACTTAAACCTCCCAGGGGCTCCCCACAAACAAAGCTCAGCTCCCCTGTGACCCCTGGGACCCTGGGCTCAGCCCTGCCCGCAGCCCGCTCTCTGCTTCCTCGTCCTCCGCCATCTCTGGTCAGGGCAGAAGCTGGCCTCCCTCGTGGCCTCACCACCCCTCCCCTCCACCTGGGCCCCGTCCAAAGCTTCCCGACTCGACTGTCGGAAGCCTGGGCCCAGCTCGGCGGCCCACCTGCCGACGAGGGCCGGTCCTCCCACACGCGGCTGGTGAGCGGCGTCCGGCGGTTGCAGTCACCCTCCGAGTGCACCGAGGACACGGAGGGCGGCCGATCCCCGGACCCCAGGCCCGGGGCCGGGGACTTGGCTTTCCGGCTGCTTGGTCTGCCGGAGACTTTGGCCTTCCCGCCGCCACCTGCAGGGGACACGTGGGAAGAGCCACGTTGGACTCCGAGGCCAGCCCTCCCACAGCGGAGCCGGGCGTGGGGGTGGGTGAGGCCCCAGCTGCCTGCCTCCCGGGGCCCCCACGGAGGGAGATCAGCAGCTCGACCCCCGGGAAGCCAAGGAGGGGGGCCACGCGGCCAGACCTGGGCTCGCGCCTGGACCCTGGAGGGGAGAGTCTAGCAGGGGCGGCGGCTGAACGGTCTGCGAAGCCCCCTCAGGCTGCCCTGCGGCCCATCCACCCACTCAGGGGCTGACACCCCGAGCACGAAACCTCAGGCCTCTGGCTTGACCCTGACCACTGCCCCAGGACTGTGCCGGGGCTGGGCAGGCTGTGAGCCCTCTTGGAGAAGCCAGGAAGGACCCCGAGCCCAGGCCTGGGCCCCCACTAAGTCCAGAAACTTCTGGAGCCGCGGTGTCCGCGTCGAACTGATGGGCCTGAGATCTCCTTGCTCTGATATGCAAATCGATAGTCTCGATTAGGGACCTGGGCCAGAGGGAGAGCAGGCCCCTCTGGCTTCCCCGACTTAGATCTGAGTTTGGGGCTGGCACACAGACACTGGTCTTCTCCCCCTCAGGCCCGAGGGCCAGCTGAGGACACGCACGGTGGCCCCCGCCGAGGCTGAGCCCACGGGCCTGGCTGCCATGAGCCTAGGGACCCCCTAATCCACACAGAGAAGGTGGGTCCTTGCTCCAGCCTGATCTCCCGCAAGAAGACACACGAGGGGCCAGGACGCGGGCCTCCTGGGGACCTGCGGCCAGCAGGGAGGAAGGCAGGGCAGGGCTGGGGCAGCAGTGTGAGCAATGGTAGGAAAGCAGCAGCTCCTGGGGGCCTGGTGGGCGAGGGGGGGCCGGAGGCTCGGGGGCCCGCCCAGCCCGGGATCAGCCAACCCCAGAACCACGTCAGACACGCACAAAAATAGAGTCACAGCTCCAAAGCTGGAGGGGTTGGTCAGAGGGACGCGGAGGCACGAGGATTAATGACACTGGGTAGGGGACAGACGGGGCGGGGCTGGAGGGCCAAGGCGGAGGAGCCTGCAGACCTGGCGAGGTGAGCGTGTGTTCACTCCGTCCGTCAGTAGCGGTTATGGGCATAGCAGCGGGCAGGCTGGCACTGGCATTCAGCGAGTTAAAAGCATTGGCGCCGAGCGGGTGCTCCTCCCACTGGTCATATTTACCCATGAGCGCCTTTCTAATAATGGCCTCCAGCCCCATGTTGGTGCTGGCATGCTCCTGCACCGCCTGGCTTCTGCAGGTCATAAGGCCTGGGAGAGAGACACACACACACGGGGGCCAGAGGACAACGGAGAGAGGGGGGAGAGAAGCGGAGGGGGAGAGGGAGAAGAGAGAAGACACAGTGAGCACATTTCGGCAAAGCAACACGTTGATTTCCCTAGCCCCCCCGTTCTTCCTGCAGGTGGGGATGGGGTGGGGGCTCCCTCTGCCTGGGGCCGGAAGCTCTTAGGAACCCCTGGGGGAGGTCAGACCGCCCCCCGCCCAGCCTCCTTCCTGCTCTGCCTTCTGGGGATTCAGAAGCTCCCTGAGACCCCTAATCCCAGCTGGGGCTGCTTCTTATTTTAAATTCCAAGTGGCCTCACAAAGAGGGAAAGTGGCGGGGAAATCATGGGGAGGGGGCCCTGTTTGGGGAGGAGTCTCCGGGAAACTAAGTCAAGCCAGAGCTGGGTATTGGGTGTGGTCCACCCTCGTTCCCCAGGGCTGGCGGGGGCTGGGGAAGAGACCCAGGGAGGGAAGGTGACCAGACAGTCCTCCTGCTGTCCCCTGAGGACCCAGGCCACGAGGCCTGGGACCCTCAGCCCCCCACCCGCCCCCACAGCTGGGCCTGACTCTCCTCCCGCCCGGGAGCCACGAGGAGAAAGAGTGCAGAGACGGACGATGAGCTGGGGTCGCAGCCATGCAGTTACGGTGCGTGCAGGGGACAGGGCAGAGCTGGAGACAACCGCGTGACCACCCCCGCCCGGCCCCCCGTCACAAAGTGGTCGAATCAACAAACTGGTCCCAAAGGCTCCCTGCAGACCCCGCCATAGAGGCACGTTAATTAAGCCCCTTTTTCTCGTGACGAGGTTTTCTGACCCTTTCTTTCTCTTGTGAACCATTCTGGGCACTTCTGCGAACCCCGGGAAATGCATCTCTCTGCAGCATTTTGGTTCAACCAAACTCTTTCAGATACTTCCCACGAAACTCAGGCCACACCGCCTGCTGTCGGGCAGTATTTTCACTAATTTTAACACTTGTGCTCTGAGCGAACCACAGGAACACCAAGTGGCGAGACAACGCGCCTTTCTGACCCCTCGCTCGAGTCGAGGAGACTGCCGGCTCCTGCGAGGCTGGGGTGACACAGCGGCCTGTACACCGCACCTCTGTCGCGGCCGTCTGTCGCCTATGTTTGGTCTTTCTTTTCTTCCTTTCACTCTCAAACTCGTCTGTGGCCAGGGACGCCCTCTCCACCTTTCTAGCTGCGTCTTGGCCACTTTTCACTGGCACTTTTTAAAAAACACCAAAAGCCATGTCCGTCAAGAAAAAGCAAAATTGCCAGCAGGGTGAGTGCTGGAAAAGAAGACATTTTCGCTCCTGCACACTAAGAAAACACCAGGAAGTGGAAAAAATGATGTGGGAGGACGGGTCCTGAGCGTCTCCTGTTCGCTTTTCGTCCTAGCATCAAAAACGTTATGACCCGAGGCCACGGCCCATGATCCGATGGTGCAGGTGGGTGGCCTGACCTCTCCCGTGACAAAGGGAGAGTCTGCAGCAGGGTACACGAGCAGAGACCGGGGCCGGGCAAAGGCTTGTGTGTGGACTAAACAGCTTTAAAAAAAAAGCTCAAATACAATTTACTTACAAGTTTTGGCACTAACTGTCATTGTGCCACTGTGCAAATTTCTACATACGAATGTACCTGTGTGTCTATCGCCTATGTCAAGATTTGGAACATTCCAGAAACCTTCATTGCCAACCATCTTGTTGTTTCGACCAAATTGTCTCCTCCCTGTGGCCTGAGGCTCAGCAAAGCCCTCAGTCTAGTCTCTGGGGAGACAGACACGGCCATCGAGGCCCCCACACGGAGACCCTGATGGCCCGATGACAGTCGGCTCACTGCATTCCCGGGGCCCAAAGACCGTGACGTCCCTGGGAAGGTCAGCATGGTGGCCCTGCTCCCTCTGCCCTCGGGCTCCCACTGAAGGGCCGGGGCTCACACACGGAGCCGGCACATGTCCTGGCTCCTCCACCACGGGGTGGGGCTGGCCCACGGGGGCGGGTGGCAGCCCCGAATCTGCTGGGGCTCGTCGCTCTGCACCAGACTCTACGAGGCACCTCCCAGAGCCCCACCCAACGCTTCCACGGAGGCAGCAGAAATACACAGTGTGGCCCCCACTGGAGGCTGAGGGCCAACCCCCAGGGTCCCCAGAAACCAAAATATCATAGAAGCCTTAAGTTTTAGCTTAAAAATGTGTGCGGATTTTACACTCATCTCCATAACACATCTGCACGGTTCCCACAGCTCCCTGGCTCGAATTTTTAAGTAAAACTGATGCTCTGTCTGTGCCCATGTGGCCCCCGAGGGGAGCCTGTGCACGCCAGACACAGGCCAGTGCCCGTCCACCCGCTCCAGCCTCCACCTGAGGCCCGGCAGATGAGCCGGGGAAGTTTCCGGATGTTGTGTGTCCATCTGACACTGTACTAGCAGCAGGAGGCCTCGGAATTGAACTTCAGACAGAGGCTTCCCGCACCGGCTTGCCGGCCTTCTGTGCGAGTCTGCAGCCCCAGCACAGGGCCGGACAGGAGGATGAGTTTGAAAAGAATGGTCCCCTGTTGTCACCAGTGCAGCTGGGGCAGGGGCCCCAGTGACCTTGAAGGCCAGGCTCCCCGAGTCTCCTTCCAGGTCCCACACAGCCAGCCTGAGACCCCCAGGGCGCAGAGTGACAGGGGAGGCGGAGGATTACCTGCTCCGGTGATGGCAGGCATATTGAAGATCTCTGTCCCCGGCTGGCCGATATCTGGGGGGGTGACAAGAGGGGTGAGGCCGACGGGCCCACGAGTCCTGGGACATCACCTGCCCCACCCGTGCCCTGTCCGGTCTGGGCAAGGAGCACCCTGGGACCTCGCTGAAGGCAGATGGAGGCAGCAGGCTTGGGGCGGGCGAGACTCTGCGTTTCTAACCAGCCAGCCGGTGCCGCTCACCGGGGGCCTGTGGTGTGACCAGCCTGGGCCAGGAACTGTCTGCAAGGTTGCTGATCCAGCCCCAAAGGAGCAAGGCCTCTGCAAGGCCCCAGCACCCCCCAGCTAGGAGGCTCCTGGAGGCCAGGGGCGGTGGCCGAGTCCTTGTTCACTCGTTCCCCACTCACGCTCTAGAGGAGCTGCCAGGTGCCAACACCGTGCTGAGGATGGCAGACTTCCGTGCAAAAAGCACATAAATGGGGGAAAAGTCACAAACGTGATGAGCACCGTCAACAGGGGACACGCAGGGCCCTGGGCGGATCTGACCCCAATCCCTGGTGCCTCGTATGGGCCTTAGCTCAGACCCATCTGTGCAAGGATTCACTGAGCACCCAGTGCGCGCCGGCACCATTCTGGTGTGACCTCCCATGCCAGTGAAGAAAGACGCCCTGGGGCTGCTCGAACGAGGGGTTGAAGGGCGGCAGGAGAGGTGGTCAGTGGTGCACTGGCTCAGGAGGCACCCTGAGGTTTCTGCCGCATGCCGGCCCCCAGCCCCGCAGGTGGACCCTGCTTCTGGGGGGTTGCGGCCCCTTACTGTATTCCGGCTCGTTCCGGTTGTGGGTGTTGAGCTTCTTGTTGATCTCCTGTTTCTTAGACTTGACCATGGCGGAGTTGCTCTCGGTCAGCTTGCTGAAGAAGGCCGGCGGCTGGCTGCTGTTGCCTGGGGATTTGGAGCCCATCCTGCTGCAAGGACCAGACACCCCAGGTCAGTTCGCCTGGTGCTGAGCTTGCTCCCCTTTGAGGACGGGGCACTCACTACCTGAGCTGCCTTAGAAAGATGGAACCAAGCTTCCCCGCCCCCACACCTGCATCGCTCATCTCTTAGGGACCACGTCTCCGAACCTCTTCTCTGCATTTCACCCACTCTGGGGCTCAGGGTGTCTGGGGAGCCCCAGCTGCCCTGGTGGGCCACAGCTGTGTAGCTGCAACAGCGACCCCCTGAAAAGGGCCTCTGGAACTGGAAGTGGACTCAGATCATGTCTTCCCCCAAAGCCAGTAGGCCTGACTTTTTTTCTCTGCGTCTACCGACCCCTGAGCCCGTTTGGTCCAGCATACTTAGCTCATTATTTCTCAGATCCTTAACAAGAGCTGGCAATGAAGACCCCAGCCGGGGGCATGGGAGGCTGCCACCGGGGGCCCCCAAGCGTGTGACATTTGCTGAGCAGGTCTGAGGTCTCCCGGCTGTGCACTGAAGCCCTCGTCAGCCCCCCAACCGCACGGGGGTGGATGGAGGCCACGGGGTGCAAGGGGCCAAGTCCCAAGTATTGGGGGGGTGGGCACCATGAAGGTACCTGGGCTCCGCCTGCTCCCCGTCCCGGTACAGCAGCGGGTACATGGCGCTCCGGGGGTGCCCTGGCTCTGCCATGCCCTCTGGCGGGGACACAGGCTCAATGCCATCCTCGCCGCTACCCAGGGCCGCCGTCTTGCTTGGCTCTGGAGACCTGGGCAGAGAGAGGGCCCAGCTGTGGTCAGAGCTCTCCCTCCCGTGGGACACGTGGATGCAGCCGGCCCTCCACTCCCATCCAGCCCTGCCTCCCTCCAGCTGGGGCGCAGCTCGCCCTTCCAGGAAAGGGCCTGGTGGTGAACAGGTCAGGCATGGGCTCCCTGCTGCAGTCTCCTTTTTTTACAACCCTTTAAAAATGTAAACCTGCCGTCAGCTCGCGGACAGTACAAGAACAGGCTGTCAGCTTGAGCCGGCCTGTGACCCCTGCTGCAGCCCGATGCCAGGCACCCCATTCCTCCAAAGACGTCCCCCTATCTCCCCGCCGCGTGCCTGCTCACGCGGTGCCCCCCCCCAGAACGGCTCCCTGCATCCTGAGCGGGGCCCTCCTCTCCCCTCTCCGCTCCGACCCCCCGAGCCCCCAGTGTCCCAGGGGTGAGTGTGTGTGTGAGCACACATCTCTGGCTCCAATCCCCGCTCTGCCCCTTGCTGGCCGTGTCCTTGTGGGCAAGTGTGCTTAGTCCCCAGACCTCAGCTGTTCCATCTGTGGCATGGGGACAACGCTGCCTACACTTGCTGGGGCCGTGGTGAGAACCCCGGCTGACGTGTAAAGTATTCAGCTCCATGCCTGGAAGCCACCAAGTGGCATAAAAGCACCGGCCATCATCCCTAAGTGCCATGACCTTGAGCCAACTCCCCAGTGCCTGGGCCGTGATCCCCACTGTGGGATGGCACCACGCGGGCCTCGCACCTTGCTGGGCTCAACCTTCTGACAAAGGTCTCCCAGCGGCCGACGGGCCAGGGCGCCTGCCCCCGCTCACCTCTTGCCCCCTTCGCTGTGGGGGGAGCCACGGGCCGGGGCGCCATGGTCTGGGGGCGGGAGGTAGAGGTCGCTGGGTGGGCGGCGGAGGTCCAGGACGGGGCAGCTGGCTCCAGGGAAGGAGTAGAGGGGAGCGGGGAGGGGCGTGTTGAGCTGCTGGGGGTGGTGCCGTGTGTAGTCCTGCGTGATGACCTCCTGTGGGCCAAGGGTCGGGGGAGAGGTGCAGGTCAGGCGGCAGCCACCTCTCCAGAACCTTCTGGATGGGATGAAGGCTAGACTGAGCTCTGGCAGCAGAACCCCACTTGGTGCTGGCTCCCTGGGTGCCTCAGGCCTGCCCACATGCCCAGGGCGGGGGCTCGGCTAGTGGTCTCACACTGGCAGCCCCAGGATGGTCAGACTCCCCTGGCCAGCACATGTATGACGAGGACGGCAGGCTGGTGTGCCCGAGACACCATCAGCTGGATGAGAGGTGGCTACAGCCGGAGTCTGAGGCTCTAGGATCCCTGGCAAGGCTCCATGGCTTGTCCTCACCAACCCCCGGATCCCCAGGCCACACCCCCAGGACTCAGTTTACCCACTAGACCAAGGAGCTATGTGTGACGCCCCCTTCCCTTGGCCCTGGTCCCACCCAGGAGCAAGGGCAGAGAAGGGTAGTTACACTGATGTGCTGTGCCAGGGTGACCACCCGCTGGTGACCTTTGACCCCCGGGGCAGTCTGGAGCAGCGGGCTGGATGAAGGCTGGCTCTCAGGCAACGGCCGCAGGTGCGGGAGGTGTGCCGCCTCGCCGCCAAGCTTCCCGGGGCCTGCGGGCAGAGCAAAGCTGGTCAGGGTGTGGGAGGGGCGGGCGAGACCCGTGCCTGGCTGGGGCAGCTGTCCCTGAGGCCCAGCTCAGCCCGCTGAGCTGTGGGACCGGCCAATTCCTCCTCCTCTAGCGCCTCAGTTTTCCTACCTGTGTGATGGGTAGCAAGCGACTGTCCCTACCTCGCAGGGCTGGGGTGAGTGGGGTATGGGTGGTCCCCTGGGGCCCACCTGGCTGCTTGTGCCGCAGGTCCCCCTCCAGGTGGCTCTTGTCAAGCTCCTCAAGGTGCTTGGGGAGCCCCTTGTCGTGGGTCAGGCTGGGCGAGCTCACAGGGCTGACGGGCTCCACCCCGTCGGGGCTGTAGCTGCTGCCGTGGTAACCTACAGCGGGAGAGGCCAGCGTCAGCCGAGGCGGGAGGGCCAGGACCACCCCTCCCCCTGCCCTCCCACAGGGGCTGGGCCCCCAGGCCGGAGCGGGCAGCTAGGCCGATGGAGAGAGGAAGGGGGCCAGAGCAGGGGGTGCTGGTGGCCAGGAGTGGGGGCACCTCAGAAAGGAGGGAAAGGGAGATGTGGGGGAGCGAGGGAGACAGGGAGAGAGGGAGACAAGAAGACGGAGAAAAACACAGAGCCTGAGACACAGGGGAGACAGGCCCAAAGAGACTGAGAGAAACACAGACCAGAAAACAGGCGGACCCACACGGAGGGGGCTGCGGGGAGAAGGTGAGTCCAATGTGGGGGTGAGCAAGGGGCAGCGGTGACAGGCTGGGAGGGAGTGAGCAGGGGGTGTGGCAGGAGGTGACCCTCAGGTCCTGGGGGCCCCCACAGCCCCGCGTCCAGCAGAGGAGCCCTGGGCTGGGACCAGAGGTGGGGGGACACCCCCTTTCCCCCGGGGACATCAGGTGTTGGGTCACCAAGGGCACACGGGGCCAGGACATCCCCAAGACCCCTCGTGACCTGAGCAGGATGCAGGGGTCGGGCTCCCAGCTCCTGGCAGTGGGGCGCTCCCTCCCTCCCCGTCTTCTCCTGCACCATCTGCCTCACGGGCAGGCGCCCCCCAAACCAAACTCATCCCCCCATGGCAGCAGCAGGCAGAGGGCACCCGCCTGAGCTGGCTCCCCGCTCCCCAGACGAAGGCGCGCAGGGGGAGATGGGAGGCGCAATCGAAGTCAGAATCACAGATCCATTCATTAAAGGAAAAAAAGCGAAACTCCAAAAAAAAAAATCATGATAAAACGATGTGCAAATGATGGGGTGCCCCCGGACCGGGGAGCAGCAGCTGGAGGAGTCATCAGAGCGTGCAATCGACGAAGACGGGTTTAAAAACAAAATACCAAAACCAACGAAAAACAGGGGAAAAATAAGCAGCAGAGATCTGGAAATATCTTTAGGCCACGAGACGGGGGGCGGGCGCAGGGCGGAAGGCTTACCATCGCGAGGGGAGTCGGCGGCCAGCGCACCTCCTTCTCGCGGCCCTTTATCGTGAGCAATTTGACGCATGATTATCGCGTCTATGAAGGTGGCCGCTGTCAGAGTGGTCTTACCCAGAGAACGGAGTTCCAATTCCTGGATGGAAAAGGGTTTACTTTGAGTCTTTTCCCGGTGCAGGTCGGCGGGCGGGGCGGGCGGCGCTGGCTGGTCCGGGCTGGCGTGGTGGGGCGCGAGGCTCTTCGCTGGGGCGCGGGCGATGGCCGCGTGGCTGGAGCCGGGGGGTGCCAGGGGCCGGGGCTCCGAGCCCTTGCCGGGGGACGAGGCGGGCTCCAGCACGGCGCGGGCCGGGGGCTTGGCAAGGAAGGTGTGGCCGGTGTCTGCACGGGGCCGCTCGGGCCGGGCGACCCGCGGGGCCTCCTTGGGCAGCAGGACAGGCTCCATGAGGGTGGGGTAGACCCCGTCAAGGGTGCCGCCCAGCGGGCAGTGGGTGGCGGGGGGGAATGTAGCGGCTGGGCGGACAGGCGAGGAGGTGGAGGTGGACCTGGGGGAGGAGAGAGGGGGTCAGGTGGCTGCGGGGGCCCAGGTGGCTGGGGCAGGGTCACTCCCTCACTCCGAGACCCCTGATGAGTTCCCGCTGCCCTGGGATAATGTCCCCACTCCCTACTGCTCCCAGAATAGATGCACCCTCCTGACGGGTCCTGGGAGACCCTGTGTGGCATAACCTTATCTACCCCCTTCATTTATTCATTCATTCATTCCATCATTCCAAAATATCCTATGGAGCACGTACGACGCGTCAGGCACTGTTCTAGACACTGGGGCTGCCGTGGGAACACAAGTGGCTAGTGTTCTAGTTGAGCAGACAGACTAGGGACACGTTAACAGATGGATTAACCCCTATCAGAGGGTAGACCTGTCGGGGGCGGTAACTCGGGGAGAAAGGAGAGCGTGTCAAGGAAGCACTAAGGCAGGGTGGCTGCGGCCTCTCTGAGGAGCTGGCATGTGAGCCGGGGCTGCTCAGGACACAGAAGGAAATGGAATGGGGTCAGAGGAGAGGGCAGCAGGGCTAGCTCTCCCGCCCAGCCACCAGGGACCACATGGGGCTCCCTGGGAGGGCTGCCGTCCCCTCTGCCGGGAGCGCTCTCCGCACCCCAGCAGGGCAGGCTCTGGCTGTTCTCGAGTCAAGTGCCTCTTCCTCCAGGCAGCCTCCCCAGTTGCCGTCTTGGTTTAGACCACAGCCCCAGGAGGGCAGGGCTTGCATCAGCCATCACCACATCCCCAACACCCAGCGCAGGGCAGGAGACCCACAGCAGGCCCACCAGGGAGGAGGAATGCACAGAGGGACACCCTGATCTTCACACGGCAAGTGTAACTGCGCCCACTTCGCAGGTGAGGACGCTGAGGCCTGGACACGAGCCGGCCTGCCTCCACCCTGGAGGCCTCCGGGTCAAGCCCAGTGTTCCCGTGAGGCAAGCTTGCTCTCCCTCCCAGGGCCTCCCTCCGCAGCTGTCACTGGGAAAGGCCTCGCTTCTCCCGTCTGGTTTGTAATCGGCTGTGCTGTGTGGAGAGACACCGGGCTTCTGTACGTGCGCTTGTGCCCGGAGCCTGTGCTCGAAGCAGCCAGGGGCTTCTGCTTCGTGTACCTGCTGGTACCTGAGCCAGCAGGGGGAGGCCGACGCTTCTAGGAAACAAAGGCGGCGTTTTCACATTGGAATCGTGGGTGGGTACAACTTAGAGCAGCCAAAGGAGGGGTGCTTGTGGGCATGGGCACTTCGCTGTGGGAGAAGCAGCTGCCTCCCAGCAGGTCCCTGGGCAGGGAGGGGCACTGAGAAAGCCCCCTACGTGAGCAGCTCTGCCAATACCCTTGGGGGGGCGGTCACCAGAGGGGGACTGGGCCTGTCACAAGAGTAAGTGGACTCTAGCCGCCATCTATGGGGCCTGTGGAGCCTCTCCCACCTTAAGGGGACCTCTGCACTTTGTCCAGGCAAGAGAGACACCATCTCCTCCCTGTACGGCCCTGCTGAATTCCGGGGGCCCAGGCATCTGTCCTCACAGCCCTCCCTCACTGTCTCCCCGCTCCTCTCCACAGACTCTACCCCTGCACCTGACAACCTACCCACCTACTCATCCCTCCACCCACCCCCTCCCCGCTCATCCACCCCTCTCCCCGCTCGTCCACCCCCTCCCCGCTCGTCCACTCCTCTCCCCGCTCGTCCACCCCCTCCCCACTCGTCCATCCCTCTACCTGCTCATCCACCCATCTACCCCCTCATCCATCCATCTACCTGCTCATCGACCCATCTACTCAACCCATTATCCATCTACCCGGCTCATCATCCACCTACCCAACCCATCGTCTCTCTACTCACCCATCTACCCATCCATCCACCTATCTACTCACCCATCTAACCCAACCTCCATCCATTCAGTTATCCATTCACCCATCTACTCATCCTCCATCCACGCATTCATTCACCTACCTATCTAAACTAAACATCTATCCATCCACCCACCTACCCATTTATCTACTCATCACCCACCCACCTACCCACCCCTTCATCTAGCCCAGCCACCCATCCATCTACTACCACACACATATCCATCTATCTACTCGCCTGTCATCCAGCCACTTACTCACTTATAACCTATTCATCTACCCATCCACTCATCCGTCTGTCCACCTACCCATTCATCTAACCCATCTCTATATATACTCATCCATCTACCCATCCATGCACCTCCCATCTACCTACCCACCCATCCATCCTCTCATCTACTCATCCCTCCGCCTACCCACCCATCATCTAGTCATTCCTCCATCCACCTGCCCACCTACCTCCTACCCATTTACCCATCAATCTACTTGCTCACCTACCCATCATTCACCCTCCCGTCTATCTGCCAACCCATTGGTCCACTTGTGCATCCACCCACCCAATTGTCCATCCACACACCAACCTGTGTCCATCAACCACCCACCCACAGTTTGTCCCCTCCCTTGTGCCAACCTGGCCCACCTCAGGACCGTGGGCGTGCTGGGCTCCACGGAGACGATGATGCCCTTCATGCCCGTGTTGTGCAGCACACTGGGTCTCTGCTGGATGGCATCCTGGGTCCGGGGTGAGATGGGCGAGTGCTGGTGGGAGTGGGAGGCGGGGCGGCTGCTGCTGCCCCCACTCCCCCCGCCACTGCCGCTGCTGCTGCTCTGCTCCGTACCTGGTGACAGGCCGCGGTGTCAGAGGGAGCAGGCGTCACGTGGCCCGTGAGGACCCCCAGGGCTCCGGGCAGGGGTCTCTGATGGCCTACCGGGTCTCCAGATGGGCGCATGCTCCACTGTCGTGGTGGACGTGAGGATGGACTTCTCGCGCTCCCGTTCGCGCTCCCGATCTCGGTCCCGGTCCCGCTCCCGCTCCCTCTCAGAAGAGGATGTGGCGGTGGGTTTTGTCAAGTGACTGGGACCTCCTGGAAACCAAAAGGTGTGCGACTCAGCCCCAGGATTCAGGAAGGGCCTGGACTTGGCTTCTGGGGTGGAACAGCAAGTGCAAGGCATCTCCCTGAAGATGCTCAGGCACCTTCCTCGGACGCCAGGGTCCTGACCCAGGATGGGGGCAGGGTTGTTACCTGGGGAGAGCGGGGAGCTGCTGAGCCGGCTGCTGAAGTGCTGGGGGGTGGTGGGGAGGTAGGCGAGGCGGTCCATGGCGGTGGCTGGTGTGCCTGGTGTCGGGGGCACCAGCACGGGCAGGTGTGGCACTTGGGACAGGTCGATGATGCCTGCGGGAGAAGGTGGGGCCGGGCGGCTGTGGCCATAGCGGGAGAAGAGGGGCCAGCCCACCCGGTGCAGTGCTGCACGCCCGCAGGAGTGGCAGCGTGGCGGCCATTCCCTCCCCAGTCTGAGCACTGGGCCCAGGGGACCCTTTGTGAATGCCAGGTTCCCACGGTGCCATGCCCTGTGCTCCGAGCCCTAGCAGTGGTGGTGTCCTGCAGTGGCCTCCTGCACAGCTCGGCGTGCCCTTCTGCTGCATCAGACTCTGACCCTGGACGACTGGCTCCCTGTATTCGACCCCCATCATGTGAGATACCCGTGTGACCTGTTTTCTAAGGAGACCCTCACTAGCACTTGGCCTTTCCAGAAGGACGTTCCAGAAGTATCCTCAAAGGTGACTTTAATACACACGTGCAAAGCAACCACAGGCTGTTTGAAACTCAAGGGACTAGAAACTCAGCCTCACCTTTTTCTTTTTTTTCCCCAAACCCCAAAGACCCTGGCTACCAGGAGCACACACAGGCACGTGCACAACCCCGTGTGTGCATCCAGGATCTGCACAGCTATCAGACGCACACTTGTGCCCACAGCACACACGACTCTAACCCCAGCCAGGTCAGCGCATGCTCTCAGAGCGGCCATACCCCCAGACCGCTATGGTGACCACACTTTAGACACCTCGGCAAGAACACATGAGCATGCCTGGGTGTGAGCATGTCCTTTGCACTCCCAAGCGAGCCTGGGCGGCCTGGGCCTACGGCCAATTCCGGATGGAGGTGGTCTGCCCGCCCACGTGCCCAGAAGCACCGGGCCACCCACCTCGCGGGCCGGCGGCGTAGTTGAGCGCCAGCGAGGACTCGCGGGGCGAGAGGCCCCTCAGCACGTCGGCGCGCTGAGCCATGGCGGTGGCCGCGTTGTGGTGCATCTGCTGCGACGTGATATAGTCGTTGATGATGGTCTGGCGGTTCTCCAGCGCCGCCGTGTCGGGGTAGCCGCGGATGAGGTAGGGCGGGTACAGGTGCGGGTAGGTGGGGTTGGGGGCCAGGTGCCGGGGCAGGTAGTAGGCGGCGGCTGCGGGGAGAAGGGGGCAAGGTCAGGACGGCCCGGCCCAGCCCGGGCCCGGGGCCGACACCCTGCCTGTCTCGATGCCCCCCAGCCCCACATCCTGACCGCTTCTCCCAAAACGCCCCCCACAAAACAGAGTTGGGGGCCTGGAAGTGGGAATACTTTTGCTCCCCAAAACACATGCGGGGGCCTCTCAGTGACAATCTTCTTTGCATTGAAGCTCTCCCAACACAGGGCACAAAAGCGCAGAGCCCTCAAGTGCCTAAGGGGGCATCCTTTGAACAGTAGCATTTCAAACAGGTCCCTTTGGGCGAGGCTCACACTTGAGCCCTCTGTCAATATGTTTGCAATTTTAAAGGCACTGGTAAGTCCCACAGGAAAAGCAAACAATGAAGAAATGTTTAACCCAGCATATCCCTCAGACGCCTGGGAAATTCGGTTCTAACTAGACCGTTCAACCGCCTGACTGCACTGTTGGGTCTCCCCACCTTTAGGCCTCAGTTTCCCCACCTAGCGGAGCCTAGTTGACGCCCAAGGAGACCCTGGGCAGACACTGATGAAGTCCTGCCCCCGTGCACCATCTCCAGTTGCTGCGGGGTTCCCTGGGTCGGGGGACAATCACCTGCATCCAGGGGGATCCCGCGGGGTATGGAGGTGGGGTCAAAGGCCAGCGGGATGTGGCCGCGGTACAGGTCCACGCCACTCACGCCCCGAAGCAGGTGCTCATAGGGCGAGATGGGGTGGGGGTGGTGCTCAGGCACGGCGCTGTGCGGGGACTTGGCGATCTCGCGGGGCGTCGACGTCAGCTTTCGGTCCTGTGACGCCTTGCTGGATGAGAGGCTGCCTGTGGGGATGGGCCGAACGGGGCTGGGTGACATCCGTGCCACAGCCGTCCCAGCCCGTGTGGGGCCCGCCGAGGCCAGTGTTCCCGGGAAGCCACTGAGGGCGGGACCTCCGGGACCTGGGTCCAGCCCTCTCCGCTCTCCCACTCCCCTGTCCCCAGCTCGTCTCTTCTTTTATTTACTCATTCACTCGTTGGCTTCTGTTTTCTCAGTTCTTTAAAAAAAATTCATTTGTTCTTTTTTCATTTGTTCCCTGTTCATTCATTCACTCAGTCAACCAAGAAATATTTACAGAACCTCTACCCTATGCACTGACTAGGAGTGGGGGCGACCCCTACCCCTGAGAACCAGACACACACCAATCCCGGCCCCCACGGAGCTCACATTTAATGCGGGAGCCAGACAATAAACTAGTCATCAACTAAGAATTTCAGAGTGACAAATGCTCTAAAGAACATTTTAAAATGTGACAGAATGGGACCAGAAGGGGGGGTTTGGTCCTGAGAACCCTCCCCAAGGATGGGACACTGAACAGAGACCTGAAGGATGAAAAGAAACCAGGCAGGTAAAGATCTGAAAGGTGGCGGCATTTCAGGCAGCGGGGACAGCATGTGCAAAGGCCCTGAGCAAAGACCCAGCTGAGTGACATCAAGGAGCAGAGAGGAGGGACCCGTCTGGCTGAGCCTGGGCAGATAAAGGGCAGGGAGAGGAAGGTGGGCAGGGCCAGGTCCTGTAGGCCGTGGCCAAAACATTGATTATTTTGTACGTGCAGTGAGAAGTCACTAGAAAGATTCAAACAGGAGAGTGGCATAATGATGTAAATTTTTCAAAAAAGTGTTCTGGCTGCCATTTGGGGAGCAGATTAAAGGAGAACAGAGTGGAGTAGCGGGGGCCGGGGGGAATCGGGTTGGCCCGGGAGGGCAGGGAGGGGGCAGACTCCCGAGCTCGGTGTGGACGCGGCCGAGATCCCCTGGTCTCCAGCCTAAGCTGACAGCAGCCGTGCAGGCGGCTTCCCGAGGGGGCCCCGCCCCACTGCACGCACCCTCCTGCAGGCGCGGTGTGGGCTCCCTCGTGGTCACCGGTGATCCACGTGGCAGGTGGCCAGTGAAGGGCGCCGCGTGGTCCTCGTAGGTCAGGGGGCTCTGGCGCGGCTTGCCCAGCTCGGGCACGATGACTGGGGCGCCCCGTGTGATGGAGCCGCCGGCGGCGCCAACGGCCGTGGGCCGGCCCTTCAGGCTCTCCTCGTAGCAGGCGCGCTCCAGCGCCCGGGCATCGGCCATCACGTCCAGTGGCAGCGCGGGCGGGAACGGGCGGCCGGGGCTGCCGATGATGGAGCGCACGTCGTGCTTCTTGGCGCCCACGGGGGCCGGGCCAGGCTCGTACTTGAGCGGGGTGCCCTGGGGGACGGGGGCACACGATGGAGGGCGCAACAGCAGCTCCACTCCGCCTGTGGCCACCCCACTGACCACCGCCCTGCCGGCCTGTCCCGGCCCTTGGTCCCAGCCCCAGAGCCATGCGGGGGCTGCAGAGGGGGCCCGGCGTGCAGAGGTCAGCCCTTCCTGGAGCGAGCGGGGGAGCCCCCGTGCGCCCTGGGGTTCCTCGAGACTCAACGCCCCCAGGTGGGCCTACACCTGCCCCTGGTCAGCCCGGGACCCTCCACGGCCTGCCCAGAGCCGCGGGGAGCAGGGCAGCGCCCTCGGCCAGGATGGGCGGCAGAGGAACTGGTCCCAGCCGGCCCCGGGGGAGACCCACCCCTTTAGATGGACGCATGGGCGCACCGCGTGCCTGGGCCTCTGCCAGGAACAGGCCTCCGCGTGTACTCAGGAACGTCTCAATGACTCTCATAGAAAGCGGAAACGCCCTCATTTTAAAAAAGAACATTCTAGAGTCATCCTGGCCTTGGCTCCATGGTGGACTCCTGCCAACGGCTGTGTAGCTGCCCAGGGGCTGCCAGCCAAACCCGTCCCTGGCACTCGATGGTCTCCCATTGCTTCCGTCCTCTCCCAGGCGCCAGGCGCTCTACCGAGTGGGACCCCTCCCCAGAGCTTCCGCCTCACAGCCTCGCGGCGCCGGGTCGGCTCCCAGGCTCCGTCCTCATTCATGTCAGCCCACCCTGACCACGTGAAGGGAAAGAGGCCCTTAGGAGGTTCCCACTAACCAGCTCCTCACAATCGGGGCTCATCTTCCCCTACCGGGCCACGGCCTTTTGGGGGCCAGGACCACAGGGGGCCCAACAGGAGTGGACGCCAAGGAGGAAAGATGCTGCAGATTTAGGTACATCTGTGTTCGAGATTCATAACTGCCACTTACTTGCTGTGTGACCCTGGGCAAGTGACTTAGCCTTTCTGAACCTCAGTTTACTCCCCAATAAAATGGGGACAGTAAGAGCACTACCCCCGAGCATTGCTGTGAGGGCTAAACCAGGCACGACGCCCAGCCCTCGGGCAGCACCTGGACCACACTGAGGATTCGATCTACAGCAGCCGTTTATCAGTACATTCAGCTCTGAGGCCTCAGCAAGCTGCTGGACCTCTCTGGGCCTCAGTTTCCCCACCTGAAGAATGGGGATACTGGGTATGAACCTCATCAGGCTGTACAATCAAACGAGGTCACGGATGCAAAGCCCTCAGCATGGTATCCAGAACGGACGCCCAGTGACCGGCAGCTGTGTGGCCCTGCGCCTCAGTTTCCCCGTCTGCAGAGGCCAGGGCAGCACCCAGCAGCCCCTGCCCGGCCCTGGCTGGCCCGCCCAGTGCCCGTACCTGCGTGATAGAGCCCTCCTTGAGCGGCCGGGGCGCCAGTGGCAGCTCGGGCGTGCGCCGCAGCTCCTCGCGGGGGATCTCGTGGATGGAGCGGCCGGCCTCCTTCACTGTCGCCACCAGGCCCTCGTGGGCCGGCTTCAGCTTCAGGGGCCCCAGGGCTTCCAAGGGCCGGGCCTTGTAGGCCTCGGCCAGGTCCCGTGGGGGTGGGGGCGGTGGCGGCGTGCCCTCGCGCTTCAGCAGCTTGGCCTCGCGACGCAGGTAGTCCTCCTGGGCCTCCACGTAGGACCGCGGGATCCCTGCCGGGGTGAACGGGCGCTGGCCTCACGTCTGCACCCCCCCCCCACCCTAACCTGGGGCCTCCACACTAGCGGATTCTGGGGTCCAAATCCTCTCTTGCTGTGTGACCTTGAATACATGACTCGACCTCTCTGAGCCTCAGCATCTTCACATACAAAACAGGAATACTGAAGAAAACACCTCACCAACTCATGAATATTCATAAAAAGCATAAATCGGGGCTCACAGCAGCCGGCTCGCCGCTGACCAGCCAAGAACACTTGGACGAGTTAGCCGCCCTCTTCCGTCCTCCTACTGGCTGTCCCTCCCTCACCAAGACCATGCCGTCAGATAACACACAGCTCGCGCTGGGGCCAGCCCCAAGCACACAGCAGGTGCTTGACCAACGACCCCCACAAGGCAGAGGGCGAGGGGTGGCACGTGGCTTCAGATAACTACAAAAGGCCTTTGCTCTGCATTTCCGCTGTACACGTAGCGGCTGTGCACACGCGTGTCACACGCCGTCCATGGACTGGCCTGAGTGCCCCGGCGCCCCGGGACGTCCCTCCTCCTGCCCGCCCCGACTGCGGGCTGCCCTCATCTCCGCGGGCAGAGTGCGGGGCGGTACCTTGCGTGATGGAGCCGCGCATGTGGTGCTGCTCCTTGAGATGGTGGGGGCTGTGTCGCTCAGGCGGGATGGCGCGGCCCATGAGCCCTGGGAGAGAGGTGAGGGCATTGCTGCTGGTCCCCCAGCCAGCCCTGGGCAGGGGGGCCAGGGTCTACAGCCGCCCCTCTAGGTAGTGGGTACATTCGGGCACTGACGAGAGTCCCCATGATGACGCTGGTGGCGGCAGAGGACCTGGCAAGCCAGCGTCCCCTTGCCTGGGCCCTGCGCCGCCTCCGGACTGAGCCTCAGTTCTCCTCTTTGTGAAACGGGGCCAACCGTCCCACCACCTCCCTCCAGGGGGCGCGGGGAGAGTCCCCTCTTCACGGCCGGCACAGCAGTGAGCTGGGATGCCCCCGGGGCAGAGCCCAGGCCCCCTCGCATTGCCGTGTCCACTGGAGGGGGCAGGTGGGCAGGGCGCCCACCTTCGATGCTGGCCGAGGAGATGGCCCTGCCGACGCGGCCCTCCATCATGTCGTAGGTGCGCTTGGGGGCGGCCGCCTCGTGGGGCGGTCCTGAGCTGCTCCTGCCGTCCTCCTTGGAGCACTGGGACACGGACATGCCACCTGGAAAGAAGTCCACGCTCACGGTGATGGGCTGGCCATGGGGGCTTGTGTGCACAGGGCCCAGGACTAGCCAGTTGGCCGGGGCCAGTTGCAGGAGTCCCCAGAGGCACGTCCGCAGGCCCCGTCACGGCTCTGCTGACCCCTGCCGAAGGAACTGCTGCCTGCCCACTGGCCCCCCGGCCTGTCTCTCAGGCGACCTGCAGAGGGTGAGGCCAGCAAGCTTCCTGCACCCTGAGCCCCGGCCCACCAGGCTGTGGTAGGAGAGGAGGTGTGCGCCTCTGACCACGCACGGGCACGTAAGTCTGCACACAAACACATCCACGCGCAGGTGCCAATGTGATATGAACATGTGCACTCACACGCGTGTGAGGAAAGATGCATTGGCAGAGTATGAACACACTGGGTACGCACGACCGTTTGTGTGTCAATGTGGGTCTGTGTGTGTGCACGAGGGTGTGTGCACGTGTGCCACTGAGAACCAAGTGAGGCCATGTGCACAAACATACCAGTGTTCCTGTGTCCTCGTGCACATGCATGAACACAAATGTATGTGCGCCGCGACAAGCCACATGGGGAGGGTGTGTGTCTGGGGGAGGGAGGGAAGGGACAAGGAGGATCCACGGCAGAGGTGGTGTCACGCCAGGAGAAGCCCCGAGGGGCTGGGGACCGTGGGCCGGGCTCACTGGCTCCCTGACGCCCCGAGGGGCAGGCCACACGGGGTGACAGTCAGTGCTGGTGAACAGAGTGGCAGGTGCCCCTGGGGACACGACGGTCGCTCCCACCAGGCCCCTGCCCTCCTCAGTCACTCGGCCCAGGAAGCACATGGGAAATTAAAAGCCCTGATTTAAACCCATTTGGCGGATGATGAACTTAAGGCCCGTAGAGGCTCAAGAACCGGCCTGAGGCCTGAGGTGAGAGCCCACCTGGCGCGCTCGCTCTGCCCACAACACCTGGACTGCCGGCCCCTCCGTCGGCCCTCCCAGGGCCATCCCCCAGGGCACTCGGCTGGTCCTGAAGCTGACGCCAAAGATGCAGCTAATGGCCTGCCCTCAGGGCTGTCTCCCCACCGGGCAGCAGGGGCCCATGTCCTGAGCCACGGCCCCACCTCCACTTCCCAGGACAGAGGAGGGGCGGGCACAGTGGGCGGACGGAGAGGAAAGCGCCGCGGCCCGTACGCGGAGGAGGAGCAGCAGAGGGCGCGCCACGTCCAGCACCGAGAGGGCCGCCCATCAGCAGCTTCTCCCCGCACAGCCGGGCACCCAGGGCTGCCAGCAATCACGACCAGCTCTTTGCTCCCTGACTCCTTCCCGGCAGGGCTCCCAGGGTGCAGCCCAGAGCCCGGGAAGGGGGAGGACGGACGGCCGCTAAGTGGGGCCTGGGGCACACGGGGGCAGGGCCACTCTGATCATCAGGCCTGCATGGCCACCTGCAAGGAGAGCATAGCATTGGGAAGAAGGGTGCTGGGCTGGAGGCCTGGCGGGGTGAGCCTGGGCTTCTGCTTTGTGGGCCTCAGTTTCCCCACTACGCTTCTAGCAAGGCTGGCCACAGTTTGTTTCCTAAATTGTAAAGAACTGGGCAGAGCGAGAGGCAGCCATGGCCAAGCCTTACCCGCTGCTGGCTTGCATACCTGCAAGGACGGAGAGGTCACCACCTCCCTGACTGTGTTTCTTGGTGTCACCCAGCCCTGCCTCCCTGTGAAGCCACCTCAGTGGGCCAGACACCCTCCCCCTCAACCCCAGGCCTCCTTTTCTGGAGGGATCAGGAAGGTGGCCACACAGCAGGCCCACTGGACGCCATGTACCTCAGCTCCCCATCTGGCAAACAGGACAAAACCCTTTACCCTGGCTCTCGACCCCTCGAGGATGACGGGCGGGCCATGGGCTCCCCCAGACTAGCTTTCCCAAGACAGCCGGCTGCCCTGTAACCCCGACCACGCTTTTCTGGACCCTCCTCTCTGATCAACTCCAGGAGCATCAAAGCCTGGGGTGTGGGGACGAGCCAGGCTGGACAGGGCAGTTTCCAAGACATGAAACCAACAAGGCGGCTCCCTGCCTGCACCTCGTGTGGCCCGGGTGCTCCAAGGGCTCCGTCCGCTGCACCCCAGCCCCAGCACACGGTCAGCGCCCACTGAAGACCAAGCGACCGGTGACCACCTTTCTGGCCAGGCTCCCCCCTGCTCCCCCAGCCCCCATGGCCGTTCTCGCGAGGACTCACCCTCGTAGGACAGGACGTGGCCCTTCTTGCCCTCATAGATGACGTGGCCCTTGGGCAGGCCGTCCTCCCGGCTGCGGTCCAGGCGGCTCGGGCTGTCCTCGCCGATGATCCTGGTGATGGTGCCCTTGTACAGGACGTCGGCAGGAGTGCCCTGGGGGGCGGGGAGGGGGTGAGCACCCGGCACGCTGCGGCTGGGGACCCCTCACGCTCGCCAGACGTGACGTGGGCACGACCCAGCACACACATACACGTGTGCCCTGCAAATCCACACATGCACATGTGTTCACATGTGCTGTGTCCACCAATGCACACGTGTGTGCACACATCCACCACTTCACAAGGGGGAGCAGAGCCAGCAGAACACAACCACATGGAACAAAGCAACGTCAGCAACGTTAACAGCAAGGAGCACTGATCAAGTGTCTCCTGCATGAGGCGCATCACACTGAGCTCTTTCTACACATCGGCCCGTTTAACACTAGAAACGACCTTGTGGCACGTGCTATTTTTATGCCTATTTCAAATGGGGAAACTGAGGCACCAAGGGGTTAGGTGACTTTGCCCAGGGTCATCTGGCTAATGAAGGGCAGAGCTGGGACTGGAACCCAGGCAGCCTGGCCCCGGAGTCCGTGCTCCAGCCTGTACCATGTGGTCTTCCTTTCCCAGAGCCGTGACATCCGATCAGCAACAGTCAGGGTGGGCACATGGGACCTGGGGACCTGTGCTGGGCCTGTGACTTTGGTGTGTCCTTCACTTTGCTTTCCCAAACCAGGATGGGGATCAAATCAGGGCAGGACACCAGCAACCTGAGCTCTAACCCGGGGTTCTCACGCTCAGCACTGTGACACGGGGGCCAGATGACCCTCTGTGGCACGGCCATCCTGGACATCGTCGGATGTTTAGTGCCATCCTTGCCCCACACACGAGATGCCAGGAGAGCACCGTGCCTCCCCAATCCATGCCCCTCGAGATATGACAACCACAGATGTCCCGTGATGCTGCCCAATGTCCCGAGGGGAGCAAAACTGCCCAGTCGAGAGGCACTGCCTTAGAGGGAGTGAGCTCCTGGGGAGGGGATGAATTCAAGCAGAGAGAACTGGCCACATGGGGAGCATCCCGCCTTGGGCGTGTTCTCTGGGCCATGAACAGAGGACAGAAACCCAGCGAGGCTGGAGGCCCCTCAACTTCGGGACAGTATGTTCAAACTCCTGAGATCGTGGAGTTCTCTCCACCTACGGCCTGCTGCGAGGACCAGAGCCTGGGGCCTCCCGGTGCAGCCCTGGTGAGCTTCCCCTCGAAGAGGGCGGAGTGCCAGGCCAGAGAGCAGGCTCCCCAGAGCCCGCGGTGGGACATGTGGGCCCTGCCTGCCAGTGCCCGCTGAGCTAATGGGTGTCTGTGTGTGTGCGCGCCTGTGTGTGCGCCTATGGGTGCCCCTGTGTGTCTCTGTGTGTGTCCCTGTGTGTGTTCACGCGCATACCTGTGTGTGCCTGTGTGTGCGTGCGCGTGTGGTCAGTGCATGGATTTCATCACTCCCTGCCCGCGAGGCTGTGGGAAAGTCTGAGGCTCACGCGTTTTGGCAGCTGCCACCTTCTTCCAGAAACAATCGAAGGTGTGTATGACCGATGGTTTGGTCACGGCCACCTGGGAGCGGGGGCAGTCGGAGGTCTGGAACTTCAGACATCAACTTTCAACCCCAAACGACACTGCGGGAACGACCGCGCGAGGAGTACTTTTACCGCAGGGGAAACCGAGTCAGCCCCTGCTGGAGTGCGCACGTGGCAGAGGGGGGAGCCTGTGCCCCCGGCCTGGTCTTGAAGGTACCTGCCCTGCGCTCAGAGAAGGTGCCTTCGAAAGCTTGTGATTTCAAAACCTATAGGTTTCAGAGAAGCACGGGGCCTGACAGACTCCTCCGCAGTGGGACGAGGCAGCTCGGGTCGGAAACACCCCACCGTGCGGCCTGGAGCTTCACCCCCACCGTGTGCGCGCGTGTCCCTGCGAGTGTGTGTGTGCGTGTCTGTGCGTGTGCATCTGTGCACGTGCATGTGTGCGTTCTGGCTCCCCGCTCCAGAGCCACACAGCCGGGCACAAATGCCAGCCCACTGCCTACTGGCCACGTGCCTCAGGCTCCACCCGCGGGTGGCCGTCTCATCTCTGACAGAGGCCGACAGCGTGGACTCAGTAGCAACGTGAAGCGTCCTGTCTGGAGCCGGGGGAAGGGAAGCTCGGGTGCTAAGGGCCCCAGGAGGCGGTGGGGCCTCCTTTGTCCCATGGCCAGGCAGGAGAGAGTTAAACAGATCCGGGGCGCACGGGGAGCCCCGACCTCGGTCAGACAGAGGTGGAGCCCCATCCCTGACGGGGGGAGGTGGGAGCTGCGAACGGCGCCCTGCAAGGCCGTGGACAGGCAGCCGTCGCCAGCCAGTCCTGCCCTCCCCACGGTGGAGCCGAGCGCGCTGGAGCTCCCGGCTGCAGCCCTTGGCTGCCGGCACCACAGGCCAGGCTACACACAAGGAAACCTCTTTCTTATCCGGGACTAAACATGCAGAATGGGAGGGTTACCATGGCACACGAGGAGCATGGTGGGCGGGGCAGGCTCAGCTCAAGCGCAGAAGCGGCCACGGACCCTGTGAAGGCAGCCCGGGCTTGGGGGGCCTGCGGACCCCCTCACTGGCCCCCACGATCTGACCTGAACGCCTCCTCTTCCAGCTCCAGGCCCACGGCCCCATTGCTTGTCCCTGCGATGCCAGGGCCCCTCCCACCTCTCAGCCTTCGCAGGTGCTGTTCCCTGAGATTCCGACAGGGCACAGGCGGCGGAGAGCTCTGCCCACTCGCCGTCTACATGGCCTGGGCAGCCCCGGGCGCGCTTGATCACAGCGTTTCACTCAGTGGAAGCCCCGGCTGCTCTGAAATCATCTCGGCTCTTAACCGTCTACACCCTCCAGTCTGCCTCCTCCCGCTGCCACGCCAGCTCCTGGGGCAGCGAGCTGTGCTCTTCTCAGCGCCGAAGAGCCTGGCTCCACGCAGACGACATCCACCCCTCCCTCGCGGCGGGGGCCGTGCAGCCAGGCCGGAGGGGACAGACGGGCTGCCTGCTGCTCTGCCCACGGCCAGGGCTGCATCTGGGGGCGCTGCCTGCCGTCCCACCCCGGTCCGGCCCCAGGACACCTACGTGCGTGATGGAGCCGCGGTAGGTGATCGGGCTCTCGGAGGGCACCCGTGTGCTGGGGATGCCCTTGGTGATGCTTCCTCCCGGGACTGAGCCCAGAGACGTCCCTGGAAGACAGGACACAGGGGCTTAAGCGGTGTCTGCAGACCTGCCCGAGTCCCAAGAGCCACCGGACTGTGACCCACAAGTCCCCCTGGGTGTCTCAGCGCAGAGGCCCCCGTGCCCCTAAACGGCGAGGGGGACAACTGTGGAGGGGCCGCTGGACCTTCCCAGCAGGCTTTGGATGAGGGATCCCATTCCTGCCTCCAGCCTCCAGGGAGCAGAGGGGCAGCCACGGGGATGCAGGCAGATGCCAGCCCCACACCCTCCCCCTGCCCTCACCTCTCAGCACGGACGTCTCCTGTGCCGTGGGCACCCCCAGGCTCTCCGGCGGCCCCACCTGGCCCCGTGGGGACAGCTGCTCCTGCTTCACTCCGCTGAAGGGCGCTGGGGACGGGAGAGAGAGTGAGCAGAGCCGCTGGGACAGGGACACGCAAGGATGTGCAGGGCTGCCCCCCCAACCCGCCAAGGGCTGAGGCCAGCACTGCGAGGGCATCAGAGTGCCACCCGCGCCCCCCACATTTGGGCCGAGTCCACGGGCCAAGCTGCCCTCCCCTAACCCCCACACGGACACAGCAGGAGCCAAGCCCGGGACACCCAGGTGGGGGGCCCGGACCCTTACCCAGCTTCTTGGGGTCCATGGTGAGGGGCAGCCCCATGGTGATGGGACCCACGGGCGCCTTGGCGTGCTCTGAGTACGGGACGTGGAGCTGCACTGACATTCCCTGGGGGGCAGAGGTCATAGGTCACAGGGCCCCCACAGTCCCTCTGCCACATGCCCAGCCTGAGTGCCCAACACCCACTACGAGGGCCCAAAGAGGAGGGGAGCCTCAGGGTCACACGCAGGTCGGAGAGGCCGGGCTCGGGTCTCCAACCTGCTGCTCGCTATGTGACCCTGGACAAGCCTCGGGCCCCCCACAGTGGCCACTGTGACCCGGGCAGCCTCAAGGGAACGGTGTACGTGAGCACTCTGGGCAAAATGGCTGCTTGGCCCTGCCCTGGAGGCGAAGGCAGATGGCCACGGACCCAGGCTCACCATGCACCGTCCACTGTGCCTACCGCATTCGCTCCTCACTTTCACAGGAGGAGCTGAGGCACAGAGAGGTTAAGTAACCTGTCCAGGGCCACACAGTCTGGTTGCAGAGCCCATGCTCTGGACTGCCCCACAGAGTGACCCCCCAATGTCCCAAGTGCGGGGGCAGGCTCCAGCCAGCTGGGACCCCAGTACTGCTGTGAATGGATGCGGCCGCCCAGACATCATCAGTCCCAACGCTCCCCTTTACAGATGGAAAGACGGACACCGAAAGAGGAAGGGGCTGATCCCCGGGCACCGCCCTCCTGCCTCACCTGGGAGATGGCGCCCATCTGCCTCTCGAGGACGCCTGGGTGCTTGGAGGAGGAGATGAGGGGCGGCGGGTTGGAGATGGTGGGTGGGCGGGGCAGCACGGGCCGCGCACTGTCGTGGAGGCCCAGGGGCAGCGGGTGACCTGCGGGGCATGGGTCTGTCCATCATGGGGCCCCAGGAGCGGTCATGCCCCAGCTGGACAGACAGGCCCCGGGAGCTGCTCCCCTCTTCCCAGTCCCACCAGGGCATGCCATCCCCACGTGCCCCTCCCTTGCTCTCCCTTCTCCGTCTGGGTGAACCACCTGTGTCCTTGGTCCAGGCACCAAGGCCACAGAGAAGGCTCCCTCCACCAGGCCCCGGCCCAGACCCCTTCTCTGGTCTCCCCATCCCCACTTTACCCCCTAGGAGTCCATTCCCCTCACAAGAACCAAAAGGACCTTCCTGAAAAGTCTCCCCCTGCTGGGAACTTTCGATAGCTCCCCACTGTCCCCAGGAAACAGTCTTAACCTCCGACACGGCTGCTAGGTTCACCAGACCGGGTGCTCGTGGTCTCCCCAGGTCCACTGGGCACCAAGCCCCCACTGTGGCCGCCTGACTCCGTTTCTCAAGGTTTGCCTGCTCCTTCCTGTCTCTGGATCTCTGCACATGCTGTTCCTCCTACGTGGCACATCTTTCCCCATTCTTCTCCCGGCTCACTTGGCCCTCTCATCCTGCAGGATCAGCTCTGCTTTGGGTGGTCTTTGCTGACACTACAGTCCATCTCAGCCCCTGGCTGCACTGCTTCTGCTGCTGGCAGAGCCTGGCCAGACTGGTGAAACCAGAAAGATCTCCACCCAGCCTGACTGGATTGAGACTATCAACCAAAGCAGCCCCTCCTCCCACCCCCGGCTTTTCTCTCCACCTGCCCAGTCTCTAGCTCTCAGTCGCCAGCGGAAGACAGAGCTCCCACTCTGAGCTGGCCCCTCACCAGCTCAAGCACCTTCCATGGCTCCCTACTGCCCATCACTTCAATCCCAATCCTGCAGTTTTCTCAAATCTCAGTGTTCCCCCGTTCCCTCCGCTGGCCCCACCGCCCCTCCCACCAGTCCCAGCGGACTCCGAGATCCTTCCACATGCAGCTCTGCACCAGTGCGAACAGTCAGAGCCCAATGCCGCGTGCCCTGGCTGACTGAGCACCACAGCCGAGTGGCTGGAGCTGGGGCTGAGCTACTCACCGGGCGGGGCGTAGGAGAAGGCCGAGGGGTCGGGGGCGTGCGGGGAGGCCTTGATCACCTCGCGAGGGGGCACAGGGAAGGGCAGGCCCGGCGTCCAGCACGGGGGCTCCGCGGGCAGCTTCTGGCCCTCGGCCGCAAAGGCCGCGAAGAACACGGGCTTCTCTGCCGAGGGGGCAGGGCGGTCAGCCGTGCCGGGCAGCCCTCGGGAGGCCCCCGCCCCCGCGCCGGCCTCGGGGTGGCCCGGCCACCAGCAGTGATGAGGGCTATGATGGGAGCCCCCGTGCCCGTGGCCGGCACCGCTGAGCCCACACACTGCTCGGCGCGGGCGGCATCCTGGGGAGGGGCTGGGCGCTCGGCAGCCCCTGGGATCCCGGGGGTCGTCCTATGGCCACGCCGGGCCCCGCAGACGCCGCCCAGGGCCTGCCCGCCCGGCTCATCCACCGCCTGCCGCCACCGAGCACCCAGCAGGCCCACAGGCCGCGGCGTCGGCAGCGCCCCCCACACAGGGATGAAGGCACTTGCAGCGGCTGCATGGGCTCCGGCGGGCGTGGGGGCGGCCAAGAGTCCCGCACCTGGGGTCCCTGCCGCCCCAGCACTGCCTGTCTGTGCCAAGCACTGCACCAGCGTGGACTCAACAGCCTCCCGCCAGCTGGTAAGGAAGTGACCGCCCCCAGACTGCCGTACGGGGGGAAACTGAGACACAGACACATCAACGGGCTCATCTGAGGTCACCAGCAAATACCTGGCCGGGTTGGGATCTGACCCCTGACCTCCTGGCCAGTGCAGCTGCAGAACGCACAACAACAGCAGGGCCACCGCTCTCCCTGAGCCTCCATGTGTGGACATGTTCATCCTCACGGCATCCTGAGGGAACCACGAGGGTCCCCCTTTCACAGAGGGGACAACGGCCCGGATGGAGAGTCACCTGGCAAAGGCCCACAGCCAGTAGCGACGGAGCCGGGGGGGCTGGCGGGCTGGAGACCGTGACCTCAGTCTCGTCCGCACACTGCCCACCACACAGGTGCTACAGCCGGCCCGAGTCTCAAGCCTGGGGACACCCCGCAGACACTGCCAGAGGCCCTGGAGCTCCTGCTAGCCTCTCACTCTGCTGAAATCTGTGCCAGGCTCTGAACCGCCAAGAATCAGCGTTGAGCTCGAGGACTGACTGATCCCAGGGAAGGTGACCAGCTGGGGATACAACTTGGGAACGCCTAGCCTGGGACGCAGATGGCAGGCAGATGTCATCTCTCGGGCCACCTCCAGATGGCAGAGGGGGTTCTGAAGGCCGTGAAGGCATGGTAGGAGAGTACTGGCATTGACTAGTGATGCCTGCTGCAGGCATGGCAGGTGGGAGCAGAGGTCCGTGTGCTCGCCCTGCATCTCTCCTAGGAGAGCCTGGGTTCCCCTGGAACGTGCGCCCTGGTGCAGTGGGGAGCCCACGGGACAGGGTCACAGATGCAGGAAGTAACTCGGTGTGGGATTCTCACGCTTGAGTGGCCCCTAATGGAGGGGCCCCCACAGGACCTGCCCTGGGCCAGGCGATTCCACAAACACCTGGACCTTGCTCACCCTGGTCCCCAACCCCACTGTGCTTTCTGCTGCTCAGCTGTAGCTGCAGGGGTGGGGGCGGGGGGGCAGCCTCCCTCTGGTGCTTGGAAGGGAACCTTGGGGCTGGGCCAGGCCGGGCAGGCGGCCGAGAGCCTGAGAGACGACCTGTTCCTCCAACTGGGCCCCGGGGAGCCCGGGTGAGGAGCTTGGCTGAGCCGTTCCACGCGGGAGCCAGACAGCGGGGGGGTCCTGAGCCCAGAGAGGGGGTGCTGGGTGTCAGCCTGATGCCTGTGCCTCGGGGCCCAGGCAGCCCAGACCTCGGGACACATGCACACCATGCCTGAGGCCAGGGGGGCCGTCGCCCACGGGGAGCGATGCCAGGACACAGGCCGGCCTCTGCCGTGCAGACGGGCTGAACGTCAGCCTCTGAAACCACTGGCAGTGGCTCACCTTCCCCGGGACAGGGCCTGTGACCCGTCCCACTGTGCCGTGGCTGGCCCGGGGGGTGCCCAGCCGCCCAAGTGCAGCCCAGCCCTGCTGGGATCTGGCTGTGGCCAAAGCTGACGGGCCCCTGACGTCACTCAGTAGCCACCTGCCTGGGCTGGTGTCCCAACCTGAATGTCCTTCCAGAGCCAGACCCCATGTCATGGGCGCTCACGCCCAGCGAATCTGCCCCTGGCCCAGGGTGGGCAGCCGGCAGGGTCCTGGGGGAAGGCAGACCTCCTGCCCTGGTCCCCGCCAGGCCTCATCAGCAGGTCCCTCCAGCTTTGCCTCTGAAACAAACTCCCATGCCCCCTCCCTCCTCATCACCCCTGCAGTCCGGGCAGCCCTATCATGCCCAGGACAGCGCTGTGGCCACCTCCATCTGTCTGCAACTCCTCATAGCCCTTCCTTTCTCCTCAACCATGGCCAGAAAGAGATCTTCCCCAAACACAAACCAGATTACCCGCCTACCCCCAACACACACACTTAAAATCCATCCAGCACAGCTTTCTGCTGCCCCTGATGCAGAGTCCCCATCACGCCGGGGCCTATAGGGCCTGACACCATCTGGCCCCCATTTCCCTCTCCGACCTCCCACCCTCCCCCGTCCCCAGCCACAATGACCTCCTGGCAGCTCCTCCAACACACCAAGCTTGTTCCCACCCCAGGGCCTCTGCACATGCTGTTCCCTCTGCCTGGAAACCCTTCCCCAGGCCTTCTCATGACTGGAGACTCCTCTTCTCCAGAGATCCCTTCCCGGGGCCCCTCCTCGCTCATCCCATTTTGTCCCCTCCGCTGGGTGAATTGTTCTAAGTCACCCTGCTCCCTCATGCGTGCCTGGCTTAACCCCCCTCTTGCGCATGGAAACAGCAGCTCCTGCAGCGGGGACTCCATCCTGCTCCCCACCGACCCCACTGTCTCGCCTGGCGCTGGGCCATCATGGGTGGTCAACAGCCGCCCTGGCCCAGCAGCCACATGGCAGCCTGCGCGCCGGCCGGGATGCACACCTGCTCCGCGTGGCGTCTGAGACGGCGCATGGCAGGTGGAGGCAGCCATGGGTGGCGGGCAGGGTGGGCTCACTAGACGGGGAGTGTCTCACAGGCCCGTGTCCCTTGTGGGAAGTGTCGAACTGTCCTCCTCCAGGGACAGCCCTGCTCTTTGTCCTCAGACAGGCAGACAGCCCCGCCCTCAGGAGGCCCACGGCTGAGCGCCAGCCTGGCTTTCTAGAGGAGGGGACGCTGGGTCCCAGACGGTGGTGATGGGGGCACAGGTGGCACTGGCCTGAGCCTGTTCCTGGGCTGCCCGGGCCAAGAGGGTGGCCTGGGGTCCTGCTGCTCTCAGACCCCGAGAGCAGCGGGCAGGACCCTGGGCTAGCCCAGCGCCGGGGCACCTCTGGGGGATCGGCCCCTGAGACCTGTGATGTGCCAGCAGATCTGCATGGCAGGCCGACCTGGGAAGGGCCCTTTGGGGACACACGCCTGTGATTTCTTGGGTCCAGTGGGCAGTGGGGCAGAGACAGAAGATCCAGAGAACAAGAAACCCCGCCCCGCCTGCCTCCTGACCTTGAGTTTCACGTGGGAACAATAAAGCATATGCCCAGGCAGTGGCCGAAGGCAGCTGCTCAGGGAGTCACCCGCCGGCTCCCCGACGAACCCAGTGACCTCGGCCTGGAAGACGGTCAGGATGAGGGCCGGAGGGGGCAGAAGTTCCTGCCAAGGTCCCAGAGCTGCTGCCAGCTAGGCGCCGAGCCTCCTCCCTGGTTCTAGAAGCTCACGTGTGGACTGAGTCACCCCAATCAGAGGCTGAGCCACAGATGTGTTTTCGTGCATGTACAATGCTTTCGAAAACTTTGAAAAGTTGCCAAGGCTGAGAAACTAGAAGATTTTGCATGAAAAGATGGCTTCTCTGGAACAACCACCCCAGGCCTGTATTGCCACACGTGTCCACTTTAAAAAGAACATGCGTTGTCCACTTTGCCACAATCCCCACCGTTCCCTGCTGCCTCACTCCCACTGTTCTACTCACTGACTTGGCCGGCCTTGCAGCACAGGCTTGGAGTCCACAACAGCTGCTCCAGACACAAACGCCCCCGCCCTGCCCGCTGGCTCCCTGCACCCCCCACCCTCAGCCACAGCGCCCACTTACCCTCCTTCTCAGCAGTGGGCACAGGACTCCTGCTTTTGCCCCGGGGACTGCTGCTGGACTGCTGGGTGGTGTCGCTCTCAGGCTGCAGGTGCTGTGGCGGCGGTGGGGCAGGGGGAGCTGGCTTAGGGGGAGCAGCATCCTCCCGGGGGGGCTCATGGACTTTGGTGACCTGCTGAGGGGAGCAGAGAGAAGCAGCATCTTTACAGGCCGTTGTGAGCACAGAGCTCAGGGAAAGCCGTCCAGGCCCCCTGCGCGTGACCAGCCAGAACACGGAGGCCCACGAGAGGCAGCGACACGCCCAAGGGACGTGGCCTGAGGGTCGGGAGGGCAGGTCTCTGCACACAGGCGAGGGGTGCCCACCCACCCAGCTGTCTGGCTATGGAGGAGAGGGAGCCACTTCCGGGAGCCGAGCCTCTCTGGGTCTCAGAGGGACCTGGGCTGGCGGACGGGGCTATGCTGGCCCAGGCAGGGGGCTGCACGGCCTGGCACGCCCTGTGCCCCTCACGCAAAAAGCCCTGGGCGGTTCTTAGTCTTTCAGCCGCAGCCCCCAGCTGCCTCTGGGAAGCCCAGGCCGCCCCCTCCAAGAAGGACGGCTTCGCCAGCGCTGGGCCGCCGTTGGGGGGCACCTCCACGGGCCACCAGCTTGGCCTCCACTACCTTCCTGGGGGCCCTCCCCACGGGAATTAGACTAGAACTGGGACGGTCCCCCGCCCTCCTCTCTTAGGTGGTGTGACCCCTGGGGGACTTCCTGCCTCCTCGCAGGCTCCTGCCTGGTCTGGGGGCTCTGGAAAACCCTGGCTGGCCGATAACGGCCGGGGTGGGGAGCAGCCAGGCAGGCTCCCGGGCACAGGGACGAGCCCCGCCTCCCAAGAGCCCCACCCGCGGCCACCCTCGAGCTGTTCCCGCCCTGTCTCTCTGGGGGCTTTTCCAGGAAACAGGGAAGAGCAGAGCCAGGCTGCAGGTGCAGTCCCCGCCCGCCCCAGCAGGCTCTGTGCTCAGCTGGCCGCAACGCCTGCCCCCCGAGCAGGACACAAAGGTCACTCAGCAGAAGGGTCCTGGGCACTCACGATGGGGGGGATGGCAGCTGCCCGCTGCTTCAGCTGCTTCAGGTCCAGCGGCTTCTGGGGCGAGGCGCTGGTCCTGCTGTCGCTGGTCGGGGTGAGGAGGCTGGGCCTCGGTGACAGCAGCCTGCGGGGGAGACAGGTGTCAGGCCGCAGGCTCCAGCCCTGGATGCCGGGGCTGGGAGGGGCTGGCCACTGTGGAGGTGAATGTCCAGGGTCACCCAGCAGAGGGAGTGGGGAGCAGGGCGGGGGCTTCTCCCCCTGCTCTGGTCCACGCAGGCCCCACGAGGGCCCAGACCCCTCTCCGACCCCAGCACAGAGGCCCAGGCAGGATCAAACCCTCCCTGGAGATAGCCCACAACCAGGAAAGCCCCAGAGAACCCCGACAAGGGCCCACCCCACGCACGGTCCCTCAGAAGCTGTCGTAAAGCCAAAGCACCAACCAGACTGAGGCTCAGGGAGCTCAGATTTGGGACCTCATCCATCACCCAGACCTGAGGGGCTCAGGTGCAGGGCTGTGTGGACCCTACTCACTGGGGATGGGAGCTGGGAGCCCACCCGCTTAACCAGAATGCCCTGCTCCCTGGAATCTTACCCGCCCCCCAGCTACAGAGGTGGGTGCGGGCTCCGTGTGGAGGAGCGGGTGAGTGTGCCCCTCACCCGCCCCAGCTGCCCAGTTCCTGCCCAGCTCTTGGCTCCCGCCCCACCCCACACCTGCTGAGCACACCTGCAGGGCACCACAGCCGGCCAGGTGACCCCACAGCACGCACGAGGGTCTCAGCCAGCGGCTGGGAGTCAGCTAGAGGCAAAATAAGGGCTGAGGAACCAAAGCCAGAGGGTCCTGCTGGCACAGCCTCGACCGCATGCCGTGACTGTGCTGGCTGATGCCTCACGCAGGCTGTAAGGCACAGCCACTGCCTCCAGGTAAGACCACAGACGACCAGGACAGGAGCATACCACCCAGTGCCTGGCAGCTGGGGCCAGACACCAGCAAACAGCAGGGCTGCTCCTTCCTGCGACGGAGTCGGGTAGACCTGGGATGGTGGCCTGGGTGCCCCCTGCTCTCTGTGGTGGCAGGACCACGGTCCGTGACAGGCCAGTCCTGCGGGCACCGGCCTCCCGCCTGCATCTGCCACGTGCTTGGCTGGGCAGCGACAGACGTGGCGTCTATGGGGCTGCCACAGCGGGCAGGCGAGGCCGGGCGCAGAGGAAGGGCGTCCTCACTGCTCCATGCCAGCCGCCCTCTGTGGTCCTCCTGCCCGGTTCACCCTCCGCAACCTCTCCAGATCCTACTCGTGCCCCGAGGACCACCTGAGGCCACCGCCCTTCTCTGCTGCCCTGGACTCAGCCCCGTTCCAACTGTCGCCCTCGGGTGACCTGACGAGGTCTGAGCACGAATGTCATCACTGTCCCCACCATTTCCCTCCTCCGGCTCGCCCGCCACCACACCCAGCCTCCCTGGCCTCAGGGTGACTTAACATCGTCCATTTAAGCCAATGAGCATGTGTCAACTTGAACTTAAAAATGAATATATTGCAGCCACTTTGGAAACAGTGTGCCAGTTCGTCAAGAGTTGAGTCACTGCGCTGCCACGTGACCCAGCCAGTCCATGCTGTCGTCTGCCCAAGAGAGCCGAAAACACGCATCCGCAGCCAAACTTGTTCATGAAAAGATCACAGCTGTTCCACTCACCACTGCCAAAAGGTGGAAACAACCCAAACATGAGAAACGGATGAAGGGAGAAACAAAATGTGGTCCGTCCATACAGTGGAATATGATACAGCCATGAAAAAGGAATGGGGCACTGACACCTGCTACAACGCAGATGACCCTTGAAAACGATGCTGCACGAGAGAAGCAGACACAAAAGGCCACACAGTGTCTGATTCCACAGACAGGAAATGTCCAGAACAGGCAAATCCACTAGGACAGAAGGTAGATTCGTAGCTGCCAGCAGCCGCAGGGCATGCTGAGGAGTGACTGGTGATGGCTGTGGGGCTTCTTTTTGAGCTCACGAAAACGTTCTGGAATTCAATAGTGGGGACGGTCGCACAACTCTGTGAATGTACTAAAAGCCTGTGAACTGCACATTTCACGGCTGAATTGTATGGTACGTGAATTACAGCTCGATAAAGCCGTACAGGAAAAGAATAAGGAACATACTATAAGCTGGCCGTGAAATCGAGGCTTTGACGTGGTAACTAACTGTGTTGTTTCTGTGAAGCATAATAAATAATACTTATTTTTAAACATATTATTATCTGTTGTGTAAAAATACAGAAACACTTTAAAATACGAATTTTAAAGTTAATAAGCTTTTGTGTCTGTGTAAATCTGGCTTTAGAAAGACACAGAGCACATTTTCATAACACATAAAGCAGTGTCCGTGTCCCTCTGACTGGCGCTGAACTGGTCTCAGGCCTGTGCCCTGCCGTGGCCCTATGGCTGCGCACCCAGGGGGGCAGGAGGCGGGGGGGGCAGGGCCTGCACTCAGCGCTCTCACCAGGCACAGCTGGTGGCCACACACGGGGCCCAGACCCCTCGCTCCTGAGCCCTCGCCCCAGACTTGCCAGCAGCCCCCTCAGAGTGAGGCAGGAGCTCCGTGGGGACCAGGCGCTCGGGCACAGCACTCCACAGTTTACAAGAGGTGCCAGCCTGCCCTCTCACTGTGAAGAGGGCAGCATCCAGGAACTAGGGGCTGGGTGTGGATCCTCGACAAGCCTGAGGGCCCTGAGCCCCAGGGAGCGGGAAGATGCTCAGGTCACACTCACCGGCTCCCAATCTCCGCCCCTCCTCCAGCCCCGTCCTCTCCCCTTTGTTTTCCTGGGAGACAGCGGCTCCTATCTCCCTCTGGAGGCCGGGTGGGTGGGGCTCTCGGAGCCTGGCACGGCACGTGACGGGAGGGCAGGCGGAGGCCGGCAGCTCGGCTGGGAGCACCAGGCCTACCTCCCCACCCAGCCCTCCAGTTCAGGGCTCCGGCTCCCAGTCCAACCCTGCCTTCGGCCGTGTGCCTCAGTTTCCTCATCTGTAAAATGGGTGTGGGATCAGCTGTGCCGCCAAGGGCTGTTCTGTGGCTGGAGCACTGAGCGCAGGGCCGGGTGCTGAGCGCCTCGGGCCGGCTTCCCACGACTCTGGTCTTTTTCCCACCCTGGAGGCCAGGGCTGGGGGAGGGGGTAGGACAATAGGGACTGGGGGGCATGCCAGGCCTGTGACAGCACGTCCCCTCTGCTGAGCCTCTGCCTCAGCTTCCCCATTCTCCTGGGGCTGGGAGGGTGAGGGAAGCCTGGTTCGGGAACAGCATCCACACAGACACGGTCATGTCGCTCGCCTCTGCCCCCAGGACAAAACCCTGACTCCTCGCCCCGAGCCACAGGGCCCCTGCCTACCTCTGTGACCTCCTCTCCCTGTACCTGCTGCACTCCCTGCCACAGGTCCCTTGCCCTCTACTGAACATCAGCTCATGAGGCCACAGGGCCTTTGCCCTGGCTGTTCTCACTGCTGGCTGTCCCACACCTCACATGCCAGCTCTGACCAGCCTCCAGTGGACTGGCCTCCCTGACTGCTCCGTCCACTCCCCCATTCTTTGCGTCGTCCACCTGCGACACGAGCGGTCGCTTTACTCCTTCACTGTCCCAGTTTTGTACTAGTCGCTGTCTCTGGAACACGAGCACCCTGGAGGCGGCCTCACTGCCCTGTTCCCAGCGTCCCTTCACCTAGAGGGCACACGGGTGCCGGTCACTCACTCACGAAATAAAGCAAAAAAGGAGAAACTGCTGTCACAGTTCTGTGAAAATTCCAGGGGCTCAGCCGAAGAGGCCACACCCCGGCCCCCCATGGAGTGACCGCCGGGGATTCCTGAGACAGACCCAAAGGAGGGGAGCCAGTCTCATCGAGCGGCACCGTGGGGCTGGCACAGGCTGGCAGTCCGCAGCCTGTAACTCCACTACTCCCATGGGATGCCCTAAGCCCTAAGCGAGGCCCAGGGAAGGGGCCTTCCACAGCCTGCCATGGCGCACCTGCGCACCTCTGGGAACTGGGACAGGGGGCAGGCGAGCTCAGGGTTTCACAATCAGAGCCACCATCTCTGGGCGTTGTCCAAGACAAGGCCCGGCAGAGCTGCCTGGCGGAAAGCGGCGGGGAGCAAAGACAGGATGCGGTTTTCTCTCCCGCAGCCGTCCGGGCAGGCGGGGCCAGGCCGAGATGCGCCTTGTGTGGCTCTAAGGACACCCAGTTCCCTGCGCCGTGGCTGCCAGGCAGGAAGACGGCGCGCAGCCAGGGCCGGGGTCGTCCGGGGGGCCGCCCTGCCAGGAGGCCCCGCTGCCAGGGTGCGCTCTGACGCATCTCACCGGGGTCCTCCGACGCCCGCCGGGCCCTGCGCGCCGCGGCCGGGGGAGGGAGGGGTGGCAGGTTGCCAGCCGGGAAGAGGTCAGCATGCTGGCCTGAGTCCAGCCTCACCCCGAGGGCGGGGACCGACCTAGGTCACACAGGGCGTGACAAACCAGGTGTCCTGACTCCCAGCCCAGGGCTCTTGCTCCCAGGGGACCAAATGCTGGACATTCAGGCAGGAAGAGTGGACGGAAGCCAAACCCAGCTGGGGGAGGGAAGGACACGTCCCTGGGTGGGGTTGCCGAGGGGGGTTGGGGGGGACACACTGAAAGCAGCCCGCAGGGCTCAGGCCTGGCCCAAGGGGTCCAGTGGGGCTGGTGGGATCCAGGCCAACCCTCCCAGCTCTCCAGCCTGGGCAGGCTACGTGTACCCACAACACAGACTCCAGGAGGCCCCTTATCAGCATGGCTGCCCCATGAGCTCAGCACCCTTCCCGCTAAAAGCAGAAACATGTGTTTCCATGACTCTGCCTCGCAGCCGGCAGGAGCGGGGTGGGGAGCCTCCCGCCCCTACCCCGTTACCCAGGCACAGAGTGAGTGCAGCGGCCAGACCCCGGCAGCCACAGCCGCCTGAGCACTGTTTTCCGAGCTGCGCCCATCGGGTAAGACTCTCCGGAATTCTGTGCCTTAGAAACCTGTTGGCCAGGACTTAGCTTGTCAAAGGGCCACCCACCAGACCATCTGCTTCCCACAAACGGGGCGAGGCTCCTGCCGGCGGTGGCCCCCAGCGCCCCCGGACACAGGAAACAGAGGACAACGTGGCTCGCCTGCCTTTGTGGGACATATGGAGACCCACAGAGCTCTGAACGAACCGGATTTTCCTATGAAATGTTCTAGAACTTGCCATTTTTAGCAAGCCCCAAGGTGAATCACGGGGCAGAGGAAACGAGTGAACGCATCGGATTTGAAAGTCAGATTTTCCTCCCTCTCCCTTTGCCCAGAACTTTTCCGAGAGACATGAGAGGAGAGAAAACAGACAGCACTGTTTTCAGTCAAAATAAAAGTGACCCCCGGCCTCTGCAGAAACAGTTCTTCCCTGAGCTGCCAGAGGCTCGGCGAAGACCTACACCTCCACCCGGCCGCCCGCCCGCGGCCCTCGCTGGGTGCATGAGCCTTGTCTGTGCTGAACGCAGGTGAGCCTGGCGGCCCCAGGGCCTTGGGGACAGGCACCCTGCACAGGAGCGAGGACATAGGTAGGAAAGGGAGGGACATGCTCAGTGACAGCAACCCAAACAGGGTGGCATGGGGACACTTAGGCCGCCCCGCGGGAGAGACACCTCTGTAAGGAGAGCCCCCTATGGCTCTGATGGCTCAGGGCCTGGACCACCGGCCAGAGCCAGGGAGCCCCGAGTTCCAAGCCCGGATCCAGGGGATGGGAGAGGAACCACCAACAGTCTTGGGGACCTGCTGTTTCCCCCACCACCACCTCCACCGGCGTCAGGCACACCCCCAGCACCGTTGGCTTGGACCACGGCAGCCACCTCCTGACTGTCTCCCCTCTGACCCCCATCAAACCCCCCAGGCCCAGCCAGGTGGCTTCAAGCCCGGGTCAACCCCGCTCTTTCCTCACGGCCCCACGGATAAAGTGCGGCCTCCGAGTGGACCCACAAGCGCCACCTGCCCACCCAGCCTGCCCCACCTCCCACCGTGCCCCCACCACTCCGCCACCCAGGGCCTGAACCCTGCCAGGCTCGCCCTCGCTGCTCCGGCCGTGTTGAGGGTACAAGGGCATCCTCCAACGATGCCCAAGTTTCTGACCCATGGCCACCTGCCTGGGAACGTGACCTCATTTGGAAACAGGCTCTTGGCAGACGGGATGGAGTTAAGATGAGGTCATTGTGGGTGATCCTAATCCAGTGAGTGGCGTCCTCAGGGGAAGAGAAAAATTTGGGCACGCCATGTGACCATGGAGGTAGAGACCGGAGCGATTCCTCTACGAGCCGAGGAGGACCAAGGATGGTTGGCCACCACAAGCAGTGGCTGGAGGAGGCAGGAAGGAGCCTTCAGAGGGAGCACGGCCCGCCACACCTGGATTTTGGACTTAGGGCCTCCAGATTTGTGGTCCTTGGTGATGGCAGCCGTGCCACCCTCTCCCCCAGAGATGGCCTCCTTCTCTGCCCAGGCTCGGCTCAGCAGCCACCTCAGGGGGCAGGCCCTCCCCATGCCCACTGCCCTCCCCCAACGTGGATCTGCCAGGTGGGGACTCCGTCCAGCGTCTGCCCCCCTGAGCAGGCTACGTGCTCCCTGGGGGCAGGCGTGGAATCCGCCGCCCCGCTGCAGTCTAGGTATACAGTCAGCGCCAATACATGTTTGCAGAGCAAGAAAACACAACACCCGCGTCCAGCCACCCACTCACCTGTTCTTGTCGCTGCCCTCGGGCTCATCCACCTCGTCGGCGCTGCAAGTGGCGCTGGAGTCGCTGTCCTGGGGCGCACCGGAGCCCTTGGCGGTGGCTTTGCCCGCGGGGCCACAGCCTTCCTTCTTTTCCACCTTGAGCGTGCCCTCCGCCTTGACCTCGGCCTTGACCTCGGGCGCGCCCTTGACCTTGTCGGGCGCCTCCTCCGCGGCCTCCTCCTTGCACTCGCTCTTGACGCTCCGGCCGGGCTCCGCGGGGGGCGCCTCGCCCGGCTCCTCCTTCTTGCCCACGTCCCCCGCCAGCTCGGGGGCCACCGCGGGCTTCTGCTCCTCGCCCTCCTCCGCCGGGGACGCGGCCGCCTCCTCGTCCTTCTCCTCCTTGGGGACCAGGGCGGGCACCGCGGCGGGCTCGGCGGGCGCGGGCGGCGGGGCGGGGCCGGCGGCTCGGGGGCCGCTGCGGGCTCGGGGCGCGGGGCGTCCTCCGGCGGCGGCGTGGGCGGCGCGGGGGGCGCGGCGGCGGGGCCGGGGGGCTTGGGCCCGTTCTGCCCCGTGTCCTTGGCAGCCTCGGCGCGCGGCGACGGGATGCTCTCGGTGTCCGAGCTGTTGTGGACGGCGGCTGTGGGGAGAGCGCGGGGGTGAGGGCGCCGGACCCCGGCCCGACCGCACCCAGCGCCTCCTCCGGCAAGAGCTGGGGATGCAGGGCCCCGGCTGCCGCCACCAGGCAGCCCTCCTGCCGTGCCCTTCTCCCAGGGCTGACCCTGGGGCCCCCAGCCTCCTTCGGCCCAGCCCCCACCCGCCTGGCAGCTGGCACCCCCCAGAGCCAGAGGGCCGCCAGGGCTGCGGGCCTGCTTCTGGGGACTCCATGTTCTCATCTGAGCTCGAGCCCTGGCTCTGCCCCCACTGGCAGCTGGCGGTGGTGGCACAGGTCACCTGGGGCCTTGCTTTCCCCATCTGTAGAGTGGGGAGAACAGATCCCACCTCATGGGGGTAAAAAAAACAGTGAGCGCACAGCACAGGCTGACACCAGGTGGCTGCCTGCTGTTGTGTCATTGTTATCGTCACAGCACGCCAACGTCAAGCGGGCCACGAACTCGGAGTCTGCCCACATCCCCCATCTGTTTCCCGCAACACAGCAGGTGCACAATGAGTGCTGATGGAATGACCGAATGTGCGTATGGACGAAGGGTTAGGGCATCTCGGCTCCAGGCCTGGCTCTTTAGCCCTAAAAAACCCACTCTTGTCACTTCTTTGGGCCTCAGTTTCCCCCATTTTCTGTACAATAGGGACATTTGGAAACCCCCGCACTTGCTGTGGGGGAAATCGCAGCAGGTGAGAGCCACGGATGAATACCCTAGTGAAAACCAGCCACAGAGGAGCCCAAGGTACTGATCTGCCAGCAGGAGCGTCAGGGAACAGACGCTGCACTGGGAACAGGGACAGAAGTGGTGGCAGCACAAATGGTGGTGCTCACAGGCAGAGGAACGCTCCCCGAAGTGGGGCCCCTCGCAGGACACGTGACCTCAGGATGCCCCCCACCCCGGCCTGGCCCTACCCCCACCCCCAGGCCAGGCGGCCACATTCGTACCTGGGCCACTGCACTCTCCTCTGGGCACCTCGTTCCCAGAGGCATGTAAGGCTGGAAGGAAGTGAGAGAAGGGTTAGAAGCGAGGTGGCTCGGGCAGTGGGTGGGAGGGCGGAGGGCAGTGTGGCCAGGGGGCATGGCCAGAGGACGGCCAGGGCCCAGCAGGGAGGACCCACAGTGGCTCTGCTGGCCACTCGCCCGCCCTGTCCCAACAGCCCTTGTCCTGGCACCGATGCTCCCTCGACACCAGCAGCCCCAGGGCACCTGCAGCACCTAGACAATAACGGGGTCATGGAGGGTGGGAAGCAAGTGCTGCCCACCCCTGAGCGTCCTTGGGCGAGTGACTGGCCTCTGGTGCCCGGCTCCCAGGACCCGGGGGCAGAGGTGCTGGCCGCAGAGGTGGGGCTCCTGCCCCGGCTCACCCGTTGGATGCAGAGCCAGGCCAGCAGGGCCTGCCGGGGCCCTGGACAAAGGCTTCCTTCAGCCTTCACTGCCCCCTGGGCCCCAGACTCTCCCACGTCTCTCCTCCCTTCAAGGCCCAGAGCAGAAATACCACCACCACCACCAGCAACCCAGGGCTCGCTGTGTGGGTGCTGGGCTCCATGCAAAGCTCTTCACACACACCTCTCGCATCACCCTCAACCACCGCTGAGATGGGGACAGTCATCACACTCGTTTGCAGATGAGGAAACTGAGGCACGGAGAGGCCACGTCACTTGCCCAAGGCCACACTGCATGGGGCAGGAGGGGACTGACCTGGCATCCTGTGCCCCTAACCACTGGGCTTCCTGACCCTGCGTGCTCACTCCAGCAGCGTCACTCCCTCCCTTCCACGCAGTCAGACAGCAGGATGTAGGGGCCAGCTGAGGTCCCCTCGAGAAGTGGCTTAGCCCCGGAGTCTTGGTCGGTCTGTCCACAGAACAGGCAGGTGACACCTGGCCCTCTCCCTCACCACGAGGCTCGCCTACAGCGGTTCTCGGGCATGAGCGTGCGCCAAAGCGCCAGAGGCCCATGAAGACTCAGACGGCCAGGCGCCCCCCCAAACGACTCCCATGCAGGAGGTCCGGGGGGCCCAAGGATCGGCACTTCCAACAAGTGGGATTCCTGGCCCCCAAATGGGCCACTGTGTGACCCTGGGTAATGCTCCGTGCCTCAGTTTCCCCATCTGTGAAGGGGTGCTGAGAGCACTCACACCACGGGGCTGCCGTCACGACTGAAGGGACGAACCAGGGCTGCTGCTCGTTCTGCAGCCATGATGGCTCCTGGAGATACATTCTGGCCACATGGATGCCTCCTCCCTGCCCTGGACTGACTCATCTCCAGCCCGGGTGCAACGAGGCGCGGCTGCCCGCCCCCTGGAGGAGTCTGCAGCACTGCTGGGGCTGGCTGGGTTTTCTAGAAGCTTCTACTGGGGCAACCTTGGGCCCCAGTGAGGCCCTAACCTATCTCACCTCTTGCACCCGGTCACAAGGGGCAGGGTTACACAGCGAGTGCTGACTGGGCTGGCGATTCCAAGTCCACCGGTTACGTGACGCACTATGTGAGTGATTCTCCAGTCCCTGGGCCTGTTTCCTAGCCTGTAAGATGGGACCATCACCCCGTACCTTCTCAGGTGCTGTCTGTGATCTGCTCGGAGCTACCAGGTGGTCTCAGGAGCCTCAGCACCAGCCACAGCAGTCCCCCTCCTCCCTATCCCTGATGTGGCATGTGAACCTCACGCGTGATGGGGAGCTCAATACCACACAGTTCTCTTACTGGGCAGCATCTGCTCTGGTTTTAATGATAAGCCAAAGTCTGGCTTCCTTTAACTTCCCACCCAGCCTGCATCCTGCCCGTCCAGGCAGCTGGGAGGACATTTAGAGAGGGGACTGGGTGTCTGCTCCCTCAGTCTTCCCTTTTCCTGGCTACAGACTCAGGACCCAGGATGAGAGGACCAGAGGGATTTGTAGCCCTCCATCAGCCACTGGCCAGGCCTCTGGACAACCTGGGTGGAGGGACCCAGGGCTGGTGAGGAGGCCAGACTCAGTACCCAGACCCATCCTCAACCCGAGACAACAGTAACCAAATGGCTCGATTCACCATATCTCACCAGGAAGGAGGAGTCAGGGTGGTGAATACACTGCGGGCTGGTAGAGCTTGGCTTTATCCGCAGGCCTGGCTCCCAGAGCCAGGAGGTGGCTCCCCCCTTCCCTCCCACGCTGGCAGAAGCTCAGGAGTGCAAATGCAGAGAGGCAGACGGACAAAGGGCAGAACCCCAGACGGCGGGAGAAGGAAAGAAGGTTCTGCTTATCAAGAACTGGAGGGCCTGCCAGGGCCGCTCTGGCCAGGAGGACAACGGAAGGGCTAAGCAGGGGTTGGGGTCCTCAGGGGCGTCATACCGCCAGGGGGCAAGTGCAGACCCAGGGAGAAGGGAGGGGCGGGGCCACAGGCTCACTAATTAGGCATCAGAAGTGGGGGCGGGTGGCAGCGGGGGGCAAGTCCTGAGTCTACACACACTTGTTATGGGTGGAATGGGAGTTATACGGGGGCTGGGCTCTGAAGCCGGCGCGGATCTCGCGCGATCAGAATCCCCCTTTTGAGCCACCAGCGCCGCTCTGATGATTACCTCTCCCGCTCTCTCTAGCAGCAGTCACCTGGTGGCAGAACTCCCCTAAGACGGTGCAGACGATGCAAACACGGGCCACCTGGGGGGCTGCACCAGGACCCTGAACTGCCTGGGCCTCAGTTTCCCCCAGAGAACACAGAAAACCACGTAATTGTGTAACTTCTCATCCAAATCGGGACAGTTGGGAGTAAAAGGAAGCACTATCATTAGGTAACTTTTGAAATATTCATCAGCCAGTAGATCGGTATTGTTTATATTGGTCAACTTGCAAAATAATGCAGGTCAAAAAACTCTTCAAAACTAGAATCTTTTTCTAACGTGTGACACCAGATGTGCTGGCAAGACAACAGGTGTCACTAGGGCTGTCCTGGACGTGTATGGTCCCCAAGAATGAGGCTCCACTCACAGGGGCAGGAGGATGGCACAGACAAGGCCCGATGGGCACAGAGAAGCTGATTATCATCATTATTGTTGCCGCCATCACCACCATCGTCATCGCCACCACCACCATCATCATCATCATCATCACCATTTTCACCGTCACCGTCAGTGCCATCATGCTCTCCCCTTCGGGGCAGCCGAGGCCCCTTCTCAGACGGACACAGCCGTTTCTGGGAGAGGTCAGTTCCCGCCAGCCTATACTCACCTTCTGCCTCCTCCGCCATCTCCTCCTCGTTCCCACTCACACCCGAGGCCTCCATCTCCTCGTCCTCCACCACGGGAGGGAAGGCAGCCTCCTCACTGGCGGTGGCTGGGGCTTTCTTCTTCTTCCTCCGTGCGTTCCTCTCCTTCTCCTGGGGCACAGGGACAGTGCGGGTCAGGGCCTGGGCCTGGGCTGTCAGCCCGGGGACTCCCCTGCCAGAGGCCCTGCCGCAGCTGCGAGGATCAGCAGTCGGCCATGTGGTCCTGAGGGCGCCCTTCCATGCCCGAGGCTATTTTTACCAAGGGCTTTATTATTCCATCCCTCCCAGATACCCCGGGGCACAGCCCGGCCTATGGGCTGCCCTCACATCCTTCCGGAACAGGTGAGGAAGGCCTGCCTCTGCCTGAAGGCCCCGGGATCGCTGCAGCCCCTCTGACCTTCCCAGCCAGAGCGGTGACCACGCCCCCAGAGCACACCATGCCGGGTGGGTCAGCGGGAGCAGACGAGAGAATGAAGGAGGCCTCTCCGTGCGCAGCTCATCCACCCCTCACTGAGCCCTGGGGACAGGCTAGCTCATGACTTCAGCCCGCCAGTCTGTACAGGGCACCAGCCTGTACCAGGCACGGCCCCAGGGCTGAGAACGCACAGGGAACGAGGTAGACAGGTCCCTGCCCCAGAGGCCTTCCAGACAGGGAGCCGGGCAACCAACACGTCAATTAAAAAGAAGGGACTCGAGGTGCGGCCAGGGCTGCGGAGGGGAAGGGGCAGGGTGGGCGAGTGAGCACAGCAGGGGCGGGGGCTACTCTGGAAGCCAGTCCCGGCCAGGAAAGGCTTCTCTGAGGAGGTGACATCTGAGCCGGGGTCTGAGTGGTGAGAGGGAGCTGGCCAGGCACGGCTCTGGGTGAGAATGGCCCAGGTGGAGGGAACTGCACATGCACAGGCCCCAAGGTGTGCCGAGGTGTGCGTGTTCCAGGAACAGAAAGAAGGCGCGGAGCCTTTCACTTCCCCCCACGGCTCATCCTGGTCCCCAGAAGCCCAGCTCCTCGCACAAGGGGCCAGGTGCCCATGCTCCAGCTTGGGTACAAACATCACTCCTCCTTGATGGCTCCTGTCTGAACCTCATTGGACTGGGTGCTCCAGGAGGGCATCTCTTTACCCCCCGTGTTGAGCCAGGCAGAGGCTCAGAAAGTGTTTGTTGATTGACCCACTGAGTGACTGTGAATGGGCAGTGTCTGGGGCTTGAACACAGTCAGCAGAGTAGGGGTACGTGCAGAGTCAGAATGTGCTGGGGGTCCAAGGTGACCAGGGACTCCCAGGGGAAGTGGACTGGCTCTTAAGAGGGGACCCACCCCAATACAGCTGGTATGACAGGAGGGGCTGCAGCCTGAGCCCTTCAGGGTGTCTGAGGAAGGAGCCGGAACCTACAGCACTCCTGGCCATGCCGACAGCGCTCGGGGAAGCCCTTTACACTGGGTTGAATAGTGTCCCCTCAGAATTCAAGTCCACCCGAACCTCCGAACGTGACCTTATTTGGGAACAAGCTCTTTGCAAATGCAATTAGTTAAGATGAGGTCATACTGGATTAGGGTGGATCCTGAATCCAACATGGCTGGTGTCCTTATAAGAGGGAAATTTGGACGCACAGGGGAGCGACGCGCCGACAGGCCAGGACATCAAGGATGCGGGCGGTACAGGGAGCTGGAGGCAGCAGGGCCTCCCCTGGAGCCTGAGAGGGGCTCAGCCCCGGGACACCTGGATTCCTGACTTTTAGCCTCAGAACTGTGAGAGAACAGGTTTCTGTTGCTTTAAGCCACCGCCTTTGTGGGCACAGGAAGCAGGAAACTAACGCACCTCCCTCTACCAGCCCCGGCCCCAGGACACGGCCACGCATGAGCACGGGCCACGGCCATCACCCACAGGCGCCAGCAGGCCCCGGCCCCCCGGCCCCCACCATGCGGGCCGGGAAGAGGCCCCCTGGGGCCGAGCCCTGGTCCTGGAGTGGGATGACTTCCCATCCCGCCTTCGTCCTGGGCAAACGGGCTCCTCGGAGCGCGGCGGCCACCGGGATAAGAGCAGGGTATGCCTGTTCTCAGGTTTCTGACGCCAGCAGGGCCAGGCCCAGCCCCACCCTGCGAACGTCTCCAGGCCTTGGGGGGCACACCTGGCTCTGCACCCACCGCCTCCCGGCTGGCCCTGTCCCAGCTGCTCCCAGAGGCCCCCAGGAGCGCAGAGGCTTGAGAAAGTGGCACGGCGTGCGGCTTCTGTGGGTGCGGCGAGGGTTCCCCTTTCTCCCCAGTCTATTTCTGGCAGACGGACCCACTCGCGGCTGGCGGAGGCGATGCTCGGCCGCCAGGAGGCGGGGGTCCTCGGGGTGCTCGGAGCCTCAGAGGGCACGGGGGCTCCTACGGCCCAGCCGGGACGTGGGTCTGCCTGGTGATGTGCGGTGTCTCGGGGGTCGGCCTCACCCGCAGCCCAGGCCCCGTCTGCCCAAGCGGGGTGAAGACAGAGAGGCTGGGACTCAGCGAGGGTCCCAAGACTCCTTCCACACGCGGCCCGCACCCCAGGATCGGGCAGTGCGTGTGGAAGGGGGATGCTGGCGACACTAGGGCTCATAGCCACAGCGGACCTTTATTGAGCACCTACGGCGTGCCAAGCATTTTCCGCATATGGATTCGCAGGACCAGCACAGCTGCCCTGCGCATCAGAGCACGTTGCCCCTGCTTCCAACCCTCCAGGGGCTCCCCAAACCCTCCACATAAAACCCCAAGGCCTCTCCCTCGACACAGCCCTGCGGAATCTGGACCCGGACCCACCCGCCTCTCCACCTTGCTCGTCCACCCCCGCTCCCCCCGTCGCGCCACTACAAACAGGCCGCCCGCCTTGAGCAAACGTGGCCACAATGCCCTCCGACAGGGCCTCTGTGCTGGCTGTCCCTCCACCTGGACATCCTTCTCCCAGATACTTTTCGCTCCCATCAGGGCTTGACTCAGATATCACCTCCTCAGAGAGGTCTTCCCTGATTACCCATCAAAACCAGCTAACGCTCACCCCTGTCAATCACTTTCTACCATATCCCTCATCTTACCACCTTCAGACCACACTCTGAAATTATGTGTGTGTTCATTTGTCTCTTGAGCTGGAACCAGGCTCGAGGGTGGCATCTTTGCCATCTCTTCTCAGCTGTATTCCCAGAGCACCTGGAACAGTGCCTGGCACAGAATAGGCGCTCTCTAACTATTTCATTACATTAATGAACCTGACAGACAAAGACATTGTCTCAGAGAGGCAAAGACACTTGCCCAAGATCATACAGCTCATGACTCGAGGAGCCCAGACCTGAATGCAGGTTAGGTTCAAGCACTTGCCTGCCTGGACCATCTCTCTCTGCAGGCCTGTGCAGCCTCAGATGGAAGAGACAACAGAGGAAAACAAGGCAAGGAGGAGCCTGGGCTGAGGTGGACAGAGACAGAGAAACAGGGAAGCTGGGCCCCAGGGCCTACGTCCACAGATGAGAGGAAAGGGTAACCTTCGGCCATAAGGAAGGGGAGGGAAAGCCTCAGAGAAGTCACCAATGCCAAACGTTACATAACTGTGGACGCGCTCCGCCCGCCCATCTCGCTTCCTGCTGACGTCGCCCACAGCCACGCTCCAGCCAGGCCTGGTGCAAGGCTGGAGGGGACACCCGCTGACCCTCTGGCTCCCCGACTCCTTCCTGCACTGGCCAAGGGTGACACGTCTTCCTGAGTTCCAGACTGGGCCTGGCCAGCAGCCGGGTGGCTGCCACTGCTGCAGGCGTCCCACGGACCTGTCTTCCTCCCGGGGACGGGAGGGTGGGGGAGGGGCGGGGGCACAGGTCACGGAGTTCAGTGGCATCTTGTGAGGCCGCCCGCATACTCCAGTGACAGGGAACTCACCCCCGCGCCACGGGTGGCTGCTGTCAGGATGGACGGACCCGGGCTGAACCCGACCTCCTGCAACGGGTCCCCGCCTCTGCTCCCCGCCACCCTCAACATAAGCCCGCTTCTTCGCGGTGGGTGGGGACGAGAGCTGACCCCGACCCCCACATCACCCTTTCTCAGGAAGCGATCGGCGCCATCTGCTGGCCTCAGAACGCGCTGCCGGCCCCCAATCTCTGGTCCCCGCTTGCCCAGCAGGACCACCCTCTGCTGCGTGCTGTGTGAGCCACGTCTAGTCACACAGGGATGGTCGATGAACGGAAGCTGGGGCGCCTATGGACCCGGGCCCAAACCCCTCTGTGGTCTCAGCAGGCACCTGCTCCCCTCAGCCTCAGCATCCTCACCTGCGGGATGGGGGCCCAAGCAGGGCTGCGGGGTCCCCCCCATCCACACCTCCTCCACAGGCTGCCAGCAAGGCTGCCTCCTGCCAGAGCGCTCTGGGCCGGGGGACCTGCCCCATCAGCTCAGGGGCATTTCTCCCAGCCCTGCACCACCCGCCCCAAGCCCAGCCCCGGCTGCACTGCCCTCAGCTCGTGCACCTTCAGTGGCTCCCACTATCCACTCAAGAAGTGCCCAGCTCCTCAGCCCAGCAGGAAGGCCCGTCCCCGTGTGTCCCCTGCGGCACTTGCCGCTGCTTCCCTGGCACATGGTCGGCACTCAGCACAGGCTGGCTGAGCACACGAGGATAGCGCCTGGCGCCTCCCGAGCGTGGAGCAGGACTGGGCACTGTCCCTCCAGCGGGAACGCACCTGCTCCCACGACAGGCCGCCAGTGGTCCCGGTCTGACCTCCCGTTTTACAGAGGAGGAAACCGAGGCACAGAGCAGAGAGGCCACACACCCGCGGGCACCAGTCAGGACAGCAGGGCTGGGCTGTGAGCCCCCGAGCCCAGAGCCACCTGCACCGCTCTGCTTGGCTGCCGCTTACAAGGAATGAGTGAATGAAGGAATGAATGAATCAACCAGTCAGCCACTAGGCCAATTCAGGAGCAGACGTACTCCACACCCAACTGACCGCCAGGGAGACGCGACACCGCAGCCACCGGGCATCTGGCGGCATGAGCACGCCAGCACCACCACCATTGAGGCTCTCCCTCACGGGGTGCTTGTGACGTGCCAGGCCTCGTTCTCCGCACTTGACACCCGTCCACTCACGTCATCCCTCCAACAGCCCTTTGAGGTGGGCACTATTATCATTGTCATCTCATAGGTGGGGAAACTGAGGCACAGAGAGGACAAGCCACTTGCCCAGGGCCACACAGCTAGTAAGTGGCAGAGTCTGGATTTGAACCTAGGTCTCTTGCATCCAGAGTCCCTGCTATGGCTGTTCCACACACACCATGCAAGAGAGCACCTCAAAACCCCCGAGGAGAAAAGGGGCCAGTGGCTTTGGAACAAAATGATGATGATCTTCCTACGAGTGGGGGCAGTGGACCCTCACGAAGCGTGCACTCAGCTCCCTGAAGGTGGTGACTCACTCCATCCTCTCCAGCGCTCGGGGTAGGGCCACTATTCCCCCACTTTACAGATGAGGAAACTGACGCTCAGCAGGGTGAAGCTGCTGCCCAAGGTCACACAGCTGCCAGGTCATCAAGCCAGAACTTGACCCCACATTCGTCCCTGAGCCCGGGCTGCACCATCCACCTTGTTGGGGTCTCTGGTTTTCCAACCCATGCTGTCAAGTTTCGGGGTCCCCGGGGAAGCACAGGATGGTGCCCCGAGGAAACCTGGAAGTGAGGCCGTGGGGCCAGCAGGCTGGGAGAGGAGCTGCCCGTCACCCAATAGCCCGGAGCAACACGGGCTGCAGCCAGGGCTGGGAGGGGCGGGACGGGGGGAGAAGAGGTGAGAGGGAGGAGGGGAGGAGAAGGAAGATGATATTTCGTGCCTGGGCGATGCTTCCCCCCTGCCCCAGTTAACCCTGAGCTGGTGCCCAGAGACACTGCCAACATCCGGGCCCCTCCAGCCCTCGGCCCCCACGGGGCTGCATCCCCTCTGCTCTAAGGGATTTCGGCAGGAGTTAAACACAGGTGCTCTGCGTCCTCAGCCCCTCTGAGCCTTCCTCCCTGCGGAAACCAGAGTCCTGGAAACTCTAGAAAAAAGCAGAGCTCCCGGAGTACACGGAGCCTGACGCTTGAGGAACACCAGCTTCAGTTCCATCTGACAGCGATGGGGGAGGCGAAGGAGGCGTGGTCTAACCCACGTGACGGGGAATGGGGGCAGGGAACAGCGACCCCTCCAGCCTGGAGCACTCAGAGGGGCTGGGAATGGAGGCCCTTAAATTCTGCACAGCACTCGAGGAGAGTTCCAACAGGATAACTGTGTCCCTGGCCTGCCCATGCTGTGTGACCTCAGCAGCCTGCTCACCCTCTCTGGACCTTGGTGAGCATTCAGCATGGCCTCCCAAGACAGGCCACACACACTTTAAACCCAGCAACAGGCGCCTTGTCCAGGGGGCTGCGGAACAAGGAGATCCTGTGGGGAGGAGAGCCTTGTCTCCCTTTTGCCCCCTCCTATCTACAAGGAAATGCACAGCCTCTGACTATGAGCACGGGTCCTCAGCTCACATATTATGGGTCCAAACCCCAACTCAGCTGTTTCTGAGCTCGGCTGAGCCTTAGTTTCCCCAGATCTGAAATGGTGACAATGCCTAGTGTGTCAAAAGTGAGCCCAAAGGGAGAGAGAAAGAAAGATGGAAAGACAGACAGACAAAAGCGGCCGCCCCCAGTCACAGCTGCAGGAAGCGGCTATCTCCGTGGAGACCATCTACATGCTCCGAGAGGCGGCCAGCCCCTTCTGTGCTCCTGGGGGACAGAAAGGTCTTGCCCTCCCCTGAGCCCCTGGGAGGCCAGTGCTGGCTGCTTCTCTGCGACCTGTCCTTCCGTTCCCCGGGCAGCTAAGACTATGAGGCCAAACGGGGTGGGGGGATGCTCCCACAGGGTCCCTCTGCCTCTAGGTTTTTGTCCCAAGGCGCCAACAGCCACAAATCCCTGTGAGTCAGTGCCCGACCCGCCACCTCCTTCCTCCACAGCCTGAGCTGGCACTGCCGGGCAGCTAAGACTATGAGGCCAAACGGGGTGGGGGGATGCTCCCACAGGGTCCCTCTGCCTCTAGGTTTTTGTCCCAAGGCGCCAACAGCCACAAATCCCTGTGAGTCAGTGCCCGACCCGCCACCTCCTTCCTCCACAGCCTGAGCTGGCACTGCAGGCCCCCAGGGGCGTCGGCCCGAGGGCTGCTGGGGGCGGAGGTGGGAGGGTGGGCCTGGCGCACGGCAGGCACGCGCCTGTCCGAGTACCCAGGAGGGATGTTTACGGCACAGATCCACCTGGGGGCCACCCGTGGGCACCGCGGAGCAGAAGCCAAGGGGCCGAGTCCCAGGGGAGACAGCTGGCCTAACACCCTGCGCAGGGCTCCAGGGGCAGCCCCACGTGGGGCACACAGGCCGCGTGTGGGTGGGGCTCACCATCTTCAGCTTGTGCTGCTGCAGGATCTCATCGAGGTTCTGCCTCTTCTTGTAGTTAAAGTAGAAGTTCTTACACTGCGACACGGTCTTGGAGCCCACCATCCGGGCGATGGCCGACCAGTTCCGGCCGTGCTCCAGGAGACCTGCGGGGGGAGGATGGCGGGTGAGGGCGGCAGAGGCCCGGACAGGCAGGGGGCTGCACCCACGGCCTACAAGACACACGGAGCCTGGCACAGAAAGCAGCCCCAATGCCAAACCGGGGGCTCCCTGCTCGGGTCCAAGGTCTCCAGAAGGAGACGCAGTAGGGGGTGCACTGGAGAGGGTGGGGGTCTTCCCCAGCTTTAGGGAAAGGCCTGGGCTCCAGGAGCCGGGAGGGGCCGGGACTCGCCCCGGGTGCACCCCCGCCGAGGACCGAGGCCCCCGTCAGGGTCCTGGGGCTGAGGGCTGAGGTCCGGGGCACAGACCCGCCTGGGCCCACCTCTCTGCCTCCCCGGGCTGCCGTGACCCAGCACTGACACTCGCTCACAGCTGCAGACGAGGCCTCGGGAGACAGGGCTGTTTTCCGGCCGCACCAGGCCGGGAAGGGAAGGAACGTGTGCGCAGGGGCGGAGGGTGGAGTCCGGCGGGTGAGCTGGGGCCAGGAGCCTCCGCGCCCAGGTCAACTGGGGCACCTCCAGGGCCCAAGGCGCCCCCGTGCACACCGACAGGCCCACCCTGGACTTGGGGCCCACCGGGCTAATTGAGGGGCTGGGAGAGGACTTGCCCCCCAAACCACAACCCCCCGTATCTCCCTGAGCTTCATATAGCCTCGCAGACCCCTGATGCGGGGAGAAAGCACCAGGAATTGGCAGCACCCACCGCAAACCCACCCAGGCCAGAGAAAGTTCCCTCCACACCCGCAGACTCAGGCCAGAGCCGTGCCCCCCCACACCCAACGCCGTAAACACCAGGTCAGCAGAAACGCGGCCTGCAGCTTGAGGCCGCGCCCGGGAGCTCCCAGGGCACACAGGCGCACACAGTCACACACAGGCACACACGCACTGGCCAGCATCTCCCGGCAGCCGGCTGCCCACGCAGGTGGGGCTGCAGGGGAGGTGGGGGGGAGGGCTGCACCTCCAGGGGCCGCAGGGCAGGACTGGCCCCGAGGATGGCAGGCACGAGGCCCGAGCCTCGCTGCCGGGCACACGGTGGCCCCCGAGCCCCAGCCCCAGACCTGTGAGGATGGACGGAAGGTTCCCCAGAAGGAAGTTTGAGGCCGTTTCCTTGAATCCAGTCAAGCTAGAAGCAGGACTGCGGTGGCAGTGCTGTGGGGGTGCGGGGGGCCGACGGCCTGCGCGCTCGTGTCCCTGTCTCTCATTCATTTGCTCGTCCGTCCACTCGTTCGTTCGTGTGCCAGCACCTGGCTACGTACACGGCTCCAACAAAGGCAGCATCACAGCCCAACGCCAACACACCAGCACGTCGCACGCCAGGCGATTCGGAGCTCACAAAGCGCCGCAGAGCCTCGGTCCCACCTCATCCTGCTGTCCCGGACGCTGAGCACTTCCCCACCCCCAAGAAGGGGGAAACTGAGGCTCAAGGGGTCCCAGCAACTCACAAGCTGCCGGGCTGGGCCGAGGGGCCCAAGGGGCGTGGGGACCTGGGTTTCTGCTCTCCCGCCTCTGGACCCCGCGGGCGGGGGTGGTGCTGGACCTTGGGCCACCTGCTCCCCTGGAGGCCACGGGGCCACGTGGCTCCCCGGCAGCTCCTCAGGGTTCCTCAAGGACAGGCACGGAGGGGAGGGCCAGGGCATGGGATCAAGTGTAACCCAGCCCCCTGACCTTTCCCTCCGCCTGCGCCAGCAGCAGCTGCCACTTCCACAGAACCTGGCGGAGGACGGAGGACGACGGGGACGCGCGTTTATTTATATTTCCCCAGCTGGGGCCAAGAGAGCCCAGGCAGACACGTCGAGCCGGAACCCCGGGAGGGGAGGGCGGGTCTCCCATCTGGGCCTGCTGGGGGGGCGGGGGGCAGCAAGGGCCTGGGGGGGCGGCCAGACCCCGGGGAGGCTGACACTTCCAAGCTCAACACACAAATGAGGTGGAGGCTCAGAGTCCGGCTGGGGGCTTGGGGTCTTAATGAGCTCCCCTCGTGGCAGCAGCTGAAGCTGATGGGGAGTCGGGGCGGGGGGGGCGGTCAGCCAGCCCTTCCAGAAAGTGAGCGAGCGGCTCCTGAAGGAGCACGGGACAGGGCGTGCTGTGTGCTGCCAGCCGACCCCTCTGCTCTCTGGGCCTCAGTTTCCCTAACTGCCAAGTGAAGGGCTGGGGTGTTCTACTACTGCTGGCCAGGGCCCCTGGGGTGGGGGCGGGCTGGCATAGGCTTCCTTCTGGTTCCTGTTCTGGAACCCCCAGACTTCCGGTACAGGGCACAGGGAGAAGCACGGAGACCCCTCCGTGCCTCAGCGACCACTGAATCAGACCCCGCCGAGGCCCCCGACGCACGTCCACCCAGAGAGAGCACCTCTGGGCACTCGCCAGCGGTGACTGCCCTCCTGCCCAGAGCCCCAGCCTGACAGCCAGGAAGGCCGGAGGAGGGGGCGCCAAGGAAAAGGGGGGGAATCCCACAGGGGCAGAACTCCGCATCCCCCCCCACCCCGGCTGCCTGACAGCCGCGACCAGTCCCTGCCACCAGCTCCCAAAGCCCCCGCAGTCCCCTCTCGGGGCCACTCACTCACATCCTCTCATCTGCGTCTCCCCCTCGGCCAAGTTTTCCGGAAACATACGGCTTGGAGGATGCTCCGGGGAGCGGAGCTGGGAGCAGCGGGCTGGGAGGCGGGAGGCTGGCCGGTGTCGGGCTGCGAGGCTTCTGGCTGGCGTCTGCTCGCAGCTCAGCTCTGCCTCACATCCTTCTCGTCCAACGGCGGTGAGGGAGGGGGAAGGGAGGAGGAAGGGAGGGAGGAGGAGGAGGAGGAGGAGGGAGGGAGGGACCGCGGGCGGCCGGTGGAGGCTGGCTCCAAGAAGGGCGGGGAAGCAGCTCCCCGCCGCCCGTGGTGGCCCAGGGCTCCTACGGCGCTGCCACCCCTGACGCCGTCCCGTCCCCCTGCAGCTGCGAGCGTGCGAGGTGCCCTTCGCCGATGGGGGCGGGCAGCGGGAACTTGTCAGTTGTGTGCTCGGTGCCCCGTGCCAGGCGTCACCAGGGTGCACAGCGTCCGTGGCTCCTCCGGGCACTGAGGCGCCCAGCACAGACGCTCAGCAAGGGGCCGCGGCCGGGAGCCCCCGGACCCCCAACGCCCCCGCTAGGCGAAATGCAAAGACTCCAGCGCCGGAGCAGAGTGCGCAGCCTCCGCGCTGGTCACTGGCTCTGCGGGATCTTCCTGCCGCCTGACCCAGCGAGACGCGTCAGGCTGAATGTGACCTCCAGACGGAGGCTCGGGAGCGGACGGGCGGGGGAGCGTGGCAGAAGCCCAGGTCCAGAAGGGGCGGGCCAACTTGGCACTGGCTTCCCCCTCCCTCTCTCCCCATCCGTGGCGGTGGTGGCGTCAGCAGCGGTAAGAACAGACAAGGGTTCAGAAAAGCAGAGCCCCCCCACCTGGCGGCCGGAGCCAACAGCTCCCTCCGCTGTCATCCCCTGCGCCAGTTCCACCTGCGGCCTGCCCCCCGCCCCCGCCCGGGCCCGGGGCCGGCCCTCCCAGGGGCCCTGGAGGTCGGGGTCGGGGTCGGCGCCCTCGTGCCCTCCCTCCAGCCCCAGTGGGGCACTCTGGAGGACGCCCAGGATCTGAGGAGCCTCTTCTAGTGCAAACGAGACCCCCGCCCACTTCGGGGGGTGAGGGCCTGGAGGCCCCAGAGGGCACTCTGCTGCCCGAGGGTCTCGGGACCGCGCCCGCTCCTTCCTCGGCTCTGAGGCAGCCCCGGCGGCCAGGTCGGCCTGGCCCCACAGGAACACCTGCCACTGCCGTCCAGGCAGCTCCAGAGGTTGAAAGTTAACCGAGCTGAACTTTGGAGCGGCATCCAGGTCACGACCGATTTCTCCAGCTCCAGGGTCACTGACCTGCTTGTCCCTCCAGCCACAGCTTTCCATCCCGACCACAGAAAGCCACACGACAGGTGGCCCTGGGTCTCCAGTAGGCCCCTGCACCCAGCCTGGGCCCCCAGCCTCGGCCTGGGGCGCAATGACAGGGGAGGGTAACAGATCCCAACCGCGCACGGGCTCCAGCACTTTCCACCTGAGGCCCACAGTCCGTCCTCTGCAGGGGAGGTCCCAGGCAGCTTTGGAGGATGCCAATCCCATGGTGTCACTCCTCTGGTTCACATCTTCCGATGACCCAAAGCTCTTGGGATACACTCCAGAGGCCCCGCCTGCCTGTCCAGCCTGCTTCCTCCCTCCCTCCTCGCTCACCCGCTCCAGCCCCTGGGACCTTCTCTGTCCAGCCCTCGGATGTGCCCCAGGACATTTGCACTAGCTGTTCCTTCTGGCCTTATGGCTTTTTCCCAGACCTGCCTCTGTCCTCCTCCTCCTGCTCTCCTGCCTCCTCGGAGAAGGCTTCCCTGACCCCCTCTAAAGCTGTCCTCCAGCCACCCTGCCACCCTGGGGTCCTTATCTCGGGAGCACTTATTGCTCCCTGAAATTAGCTCCCTGGCTCTACTGCTCACTGACCGCCATGCCTCTGCACCCACGACCCTAGGTGAGCAGGAGGCACTTGGCAAAGGAACAAGGCTCCCAGTGCCCCGAAGGCGTCCCACAGGCATCTCCGCCACCCTTGGGCCCGGGGAGTAGCTGCCAGGAGAGGCAGGGATGGGGTCTACCCCGTGGCCCGTGGACCCTCCCCTCCCCCTCGGCCAGTGCTCTGCGCGGCGCCCAGACGGCAATTCTGCCACCATCCCCTGCGGTCTGGATTCCCCGACCCCACTTCTGATTTCTAAGGAAAGAGTTTCGTTCTGAAGAGTCAGGAGGCAGGAACCAGGAAGTGAAATTGACCAAGACAGGAAGTGGAGCCGGGAGGTCTGAGTCACAGATGCGGAGCACCAAGACAAGGCTGCGGGGACGGTGGCCAGAGGAGTGGCTCTCGGTGTGGTGGCCTGGGGGCTTGGCCTGGTAGCTGGCCGTCTGGCCACTTGTGGGGGGAGCTTCCCAGGCACCAAACGTTCTCCTGGGAGTGGTGATCAGC